GGTCTCTTTGAGTGACTCAATGTCTCCAGTCACATTGGATCCATCACTTTTCCCCACAGATACATGAGAATACACTCACACTGCATTCCCAACTTGAAATGCTTAGATACCTATATAGCCCGGTTCTTCCTTCAGTACTGTCTGCCATGAGCCCTTCTGTGACCACTCTAGATAATCACAACCCCCCACCTTACACTTCTTTCTTCCTTATTTTTCTTCTTAGCATTTACTATTATTTAATATATGTATAGTATTTTTTCAGTCCTCTCCCCCCCAATGTAAGCCTCTCCATGACAGAGACTTTTTATTCCTGTTGTGTTTACAACTGTATCTTCATTGCTAGGCACACAGTAGGCATTCAATATAAATTTTTTTTAAAGATTTATTTATTTATGCATACAAGAGCAGGGGTACTGGCCAGAGGTGTGGGGGGTGAGAGGATTCACCAGAAACAGAGTGGGGAACAGAACAGGCAGATTGAAGTACACTGCTGAGGGGAGCAGCAGGTGAGTCAGGAGAGGCCTGCGGCGCCATGTGGGTTGCTCCCTGGCCGGCTGGGGGATCGAACTCATGCTGCAGAGGCTGCGGACAGCTTCATAGGTTGTGTCTTAACCCCCTGCACCACCAGAGAGGCCCCCAATACAAATATTCTGGATGAACAAATGAATGAATGTAGGTGGTGGTGATTATAATCTAAATTAGGGTTTTATCAATGGAAATGGAAAGGAAGGACTGTATATGAAATATTTCTTTATTTTTTATTATTTATTTATTTTAAATTTATTTATTTATACAAGCACTGGGTACAGTCAGAAGCACGGGAGGGTGAGAGATTTTACCAGAGCCAGAGCTGGGAGCAAAGCAGGCAGAAGGACCAAAGTACACTGCTGAGGGGAGCAGCGGGCTGCAGGAGAGGTCTGCGTGCCATGTGGGACCCTCCTCCGGTGGCCGGGGAGCAGCCGGGGATCGAACCAGCGCTGCAGAGGCTGCGGGCAGCTTCACAACCCAACACTCAACCGCTGCGCCACCGGGGAGGCCCCTTAAATATTTTTTTTAAAGATTGATTTATTTGTGCATACAAGAACTGGGGTACAGGCCAGAGGTGCGGGGGTAGGGGGAGAGGGTGAGAGGATTCACCAGAGACAGAGTAGGGAACAAAACAGGCAGATTGACTGAAATACACTGCGGAGGGGAGCAGCAGGCGAGACAGGAGAGGTCTGCTGCACCATGTAAGTCACCTCCCTGGCCAGGGATGGAACTTGTGCTGCGCTAGTTGCAGTTGCAGATAGCATCATAGTGCTGACACTTAACCCCTTGTGCCACCAGGGAGGCCCTGTATATGAAATATTTCAAAGAAAAGCATAATAGGAAATGAATGTGTTTGGGAGGCGAGCACATCCTCTGGCCTGATAGACTTAAAGTGACTACAGCAAAGGCAGGTAGAACTGCACGGAAGGCTAGAACAGTAGGGCTGGAACATAGGTGTCAGAAAAGGGATTGAGATCTGAGAGTTTTCTGGGTAGATGTAATAATTGAGATGATTGGAATGGATGAAGCCTGAATAGATGAAGAGAGATAAAGCTAAAGCCTGAGCTCTAAAGAATTCTCACTGTCTTCAGTGGAAGAAGCAAAGTCAGAGAAGGAAAAACATGACTATGAAAGGCCAAAGATAGAGAATAAGACAATATAATAGAAGCCAAAAGAAGGAATTTTTCAAGAAATTGTTTGTGATGAACAAAAATATGTCAGAGAACTCCTGGATAAAGGACTCTGGAGCGCTATAAGAGCCAGTGTAGTGAAACCGGTTTACAAAGGGTTAAAGAATAAATGAGGAAATGAAAGCAGCGGGTGTAGGCAGTGAAAAGGAAATAAAAACAATTTCTCTGGAAGAGTCAAAGATTTTGTGCAGATAATAAAGACCTAAGACAGTTGGGGGTAGGAAGGACGAAGTCAATGAAATGATTACGGGGGTGAGGACCATCTCAAGGGACTAACACAGCAGGAAGGAAGGAAAGAAGCAGGAGCACAAGCTGGGAACTTGGTCTTTTCTGTGAAGTTGCAGGTTGGAAGGTCTGAAAACATGAAGAGCTTTTGGGGGAGGGGGGCGGCGGTTGTCAGTAACATGCATGTATGATATGGTGAGAGAGATTCCAGACCAGTGTGTATGGGAGATGGGTAGCCCCAGGGCCTCCATCTTAAATATAAACTAGCAGGAGTGAGCCTTTTCTGAATATCAGGGAATCAGACAAATGGAGGTAAGCAGAGAAATTCTAGGACTGTGGTGGACAGAAATGGATGTCCTTTATTCTTTAAATGGGGCACTGAAATCTCCACCCTTCCAGATGATTTGTATGTATCACTTGGGTTTGTGATTATTCTCCTCAAAGGGGTTGGGCAATCTCTGGGTAGCAGTAACATCTGTGATGACCACAGAAAGCAGGATGTACAGTTAGCAGATATACAGATCTGCACAGGGATTCCTTCTTTTCATTCACTGATCCACTGAATCCATTGATTCACTCAAGAAGGATTTATTCCACCACACTAGTACTAGTGTCCACCTTGTTCTCAGAGGTTCACCTGTCAGGGTGAAGAAAGGGACTAGAAAACTCCTAACCTGCAGTCCAGCCCCCTTCAACAGGTTTTATTTACTTTTTAAAAAGATTTATTTAGTTATTTATGCATACAAGAGCTGGGGTACAGGCCAGAGGTGCAGGGGTTGGGGGAGAGGTGAGAGGATTCACCAGAGACAGAGCCGGGAACAGAATAGGTGGTCTAACTGAAATACACTGCTGAGGGGAGCAGCAGGCAAGACAGAAGAGGTCTGCTGCACTATGCAGGTCAGCTCCCTGGCCAGCCTGGGATCAAACTCTGTGCCTTGCTGCAGTGGCTGCGGATAGCTTCCTAGTGCTGTGACTTAACCCCTTGCACCACCGGGAAGGCCCAGGGCCCATCCTAGGCTCTGTTCTCATGTGGAGGATCCAGTCCTTAAGGTTTCCTAAAGTTTTGCCTGAACAGCAAAGGTTTCACACTCCCTAACTGTCCCTTCCCTCAACTGCAGAAAAAGGACGCTTGAATTTCTGTGAAGGATTAGTGGAGGTGATGTTTGTGTTCTCTACCACAGGAAAAAACAAACAAACAAACAAAAAAACACAGATGCCAAATAGGCAAGGACAGCACCCCACTACAGAAGGGCGTTGGCAGGGTAGAAGGGTGGAAAATTCAGACGATGGAGGTGACCAAGACTGAGGAAAGATGTCACATTCTAGTGTCCTCACCCCTGCAGTGGCTCAGCACCTTCAGACTGAGGCTTCTAAAAGGGGGTTGTTGATGGTGGTGAGGGCTTTAAGTGGGGAGAAAACCCACTCTCTTCTTTTTTTTCTTTATCACCCTGCCCAGATGCCCGGTATCATTCCTGGTTCCCCCCGAGGGAAAACAACAACAACAAAAACCCCTCACCCTGCCCCAGGCGCCAGGCTGCCAGCCCATCTGCTGAGGAGAAAGGAGGGAGCAGAGTCTCCCAGGGGATTCTGGAGAATCAACTGGAAGATCCGTGCTCCCAGGGAGACCTCTCTTACTAGACTTATAAGACATTTCGGTTCACACGGGCAATGTCTGCGAGGCGCTGAGCACTGGAGTGGGCTGGGGTCGAGGGGCTAAAGCTGGCACCGCAGGGCGGGGTCATTTGGTCACCACGTGTTCAAGGCCGGCCGGGCTGCACGTCGGTGCCGGGCAGCCCCGGGATGGCAGCAACGTCCCCCTCCCCGCGCCCAGTCTCACCGGCTCAAAGGCGCCAGGGCCCCCCGGGGCCGGGGCGGGCCGGGGAAGGTAATGTAATTCTGACCCTGCTAACCCGATTATGGCAGCCTGCACCGGGCCGGGCGGCGGCGGGGGCGGGTCTAAGGCGCAGGGGCCCGCCCGGCGGGGGTCCCATCCCGGGGAAGGATGTAGAGTTCACACACTCCCAGTCCCCGGGTCCGCGGCCGAGGTCACAAGGTCACTTAGCGACTCCGGCTTTCCCCACCTTCCTTCTCTAACACGCTCTAGGCAGTTTCTGGAGCTTGGGGCGGGGCGGGGACTATGGGAAATTAGGCGACCGGGACCCTCCGGAGGCTTCAGTGAGGTCCCACACGTCGCCTGTGGCGATTTCGTCCTTCCACTTTTGGGGTGGGGAGGAGCGTGTAAGAGCACACTTCCTGGGCACCGAGGGGATGGGCAGGTACCGCCGTGGTGGTCCCCTGTTGAGAGCCGAAAGCGCGGGCCAAGCTCCCACCGGCCAAAGTTGGCACAGGCTGAGCCACGGGGTCGCTTTTCACCAATTTCAGAAATCGAAATCCTAAGAAACACGGGACACCCCATTACTGGCGCGCCCAGCAGGAGCCAGAGATCCTTCTGGAGAGGCGCGGGTCGGGGATAGCGGTGCGCCCGGATCACCCGCCCGCGAGCGGCTGTTCCCCGCCCCAGCCCACCGGCCGCGCCCTGCCACCCCCTCCCCACACCTGTCCTCTTCCCGGGCCTCCAATTCGCCAGGCGCCGTTCCCCAGCCGCTTCCCAAGACAGCCAGGAGGCCACAACGAGATTTGGTCTTCGAGGGCACTTAGGCCCGCGCCACAACGAATCCGGGATTCGGCAGGCAGGACCCATCGGGAGGCGCAGAGGGGGGGCTGTGGGAGGAGGCACCTGCGGAGGAAGCCGGGGAGGCCGAGGAAGCCCAAAGGCGGAGGCCGGCGAGGATGGAGTGGCGGAGCGCGTCTGGGCTGACTCAGCGCGCAGTGGCCAGTGCTCGGGCCCCTCCCGTGCCGGGCCTGGCTCCTAACACCCTCGCCACCTCCCTCACTACCCCACCATTGCCCGCCGGCCAGACTTCCCAGAGCTTGGCGCAAACAGGCGTCTCTTCCCCTTTAACGGGCCCGGCCCCGCCCCTGCCCTACCCCCAGGCCCTCTGCCCACCCCGGGCTGATCTGTCAGTCACTGCCCCAGCCCGAGCCCGTCCACCCTCTCCACCCTGGACTCGCGCAGAGCCGCCGGCTGCCCAGCATCCATCCGCGCTTCAGAAGCAGCAAGGACGCTCCTGGGGCCCCGGCAGGTCGCGCTCCCCCGGGATGCGAGTCCCTGCGCCGACGCCCGGCAGCGGCCGGCACGGGTGCGGCTATTCCGGGCGCACTGGGATGAAGCTGTCCTGGGGGCCCCGGCGCCCCGCCGTGGCCAGACCCGCAGGCCCCTGAGGCCGCCGCCCCGAGCGCGCCTCAGCTGGGCTCCCAGAGCTGCCCGGTGCGCTCTCCCTAACCGCGGAATCTGCTGCGGTCCCTCCTGACCCGGACCCATGGAGCCGGCGGTGCTGGCCTCGCACAACCACCCGCACCACGAACCAATCAGCTTTGGCATCGATCAGATCCTGAGCTGCCCAGAGCCCCCCGGGAGCGGCCTAGGCCCGGGTCGTGCGGGCCAGGGCCATGGGGAGAGTGCGGCGTTCTCGGGTGGATTTCACGGAGCCTCCAGCTACGGCCCCGCGGGTTCCCTGACCCCGCTGCCTGGAAGCTCCAGCGTGGGTCCGGGCGGCGTGATCCGCGTCCCGGCGCACCGTCCGCTGCCCGTACCGCCGCCCGCGGGAGGCTCGTCTGCCGTGCCTGGACCCTCGGGCTTGGGCGGCGCCGGGGGCCTAGCCGGACTCACCTTCCCGTGGATGGACAGCGGCCGCCGCTTTGCCAAGGACCGGCTCACGGGTGAGGTTGCCCGACCCCTCCAGCTTCATGCCCCACACTAATCGCATTTCCTCACCTTTGATCCTTAAGCTCCAACTCATGGTCCCCTTTAACACACCTCCGCCCCCCACCCCCGTCCCCAGCGCCCCAGATCATCCCGGAAGATGCTCCTCCAACACGTACCTTAGACCCGCAGCGCAGGAGCTCTGCGGAGAAGGCCGCCGTCGAGGCCCAGGCGCGTGGGAGGGCTGGTGAAAGTTATGGGGGACATCTCTGCCTCATCCAAAAGGGAGGGTCATTTCTCCCGAGGCCCTTTCTTGTCCTGAGACCTGGACCGACGCGGCCCGAGCCTGGGGCTCCGGGTAGGTCCAGGTACCGGAGCTTTCCGCCCAAGCAGCGGCACTCTCAGCGTGACACCTCGGCCACCCCGCCAACCCTGCCCTGCTCTTTCTCTCTCCCCATAGCCGCGCTTTCTCCCTTCTCCGGGACGCGCCGCATAGGGCACCCCTACCAAAACCGGACCCCCCCGAAGCGGAAGAAGCCGCGCACGTCCTTCTCCCGCTCGCAGGTGCTGGAGTTGGAGCGGCGCTTCCTGCGCCAGAAGTACCTGGCCTCGGCCGAGAGGGCGGCGCTGGCTAAGGCCCTGCGCATGACCGACGCACAGGTCAAGACGTGGTTCCAGAACCGACGCACCAAGTGGCGGTGAGGCGCGGGGTGGACTAGGCCCCGCGGGCAGGGCCGAGCGCGGGGAGGGCGCGGAGCCGCGGGCCTGGCCCAGTGGCGGGGAGGCGCGAGGCCGGCGAGGGCGGCCCTGCTGACCCGCGTCTCCACTCGTCCAGGCGCCAGACGGCCGAGGAGCGCGAAGCGGAGCGGCACCGCGCGGGCCGCCTGCTCCTGCACCTGCAGCAGGACGCGCTCCCGCGGCCACTGCGGCCGCCGCTGCCCCCAGATCCGCTCTGCCTGCACAACTCGTCGCTCTTCGCGCTGCAAAACCTGCAGCCCTGGGCCGAGGACAACAAGGTGGCTTCGGTGTCCGGGCTCGCCTCGGTGGTGTGAACGACGCCTGCCCGACCCGCCGAGCGCTCTTTTTCTTACCGAAGCGCCGCGCAGGGCCTGGGGCCCGGGAGCACGCGGCCGCCCACGCCGTGGCTTCGTGGCAGCGGAGCCCGCGAGAAGCAGCTGACCTGCTGGCTGTCGTCTAGGATTCCTCTGCCACCCGCGGGTTCCTAGACCGGCGTGGAGCGTTTGCCCCGCGCTAAGACGCTGCCTTTCCCGCCATTTCCACTTGACGGCAGCGCTGAACCTGAGCCGTGGAGGGGGCGGGACCTGCAGTAACATAGCCAGTGAGCAGCGGGGAGGAGGGCGGGCCGGCCAATGGGAGCTGTTGTCCTGAGGGACTCCGTCCTCCCGCGGATGGGTCAGAGCTGGGTTCACCCCGCCCACCCCCGCCAGAGCAAGTTAAAGGTGGTACGCTGGGAAGCGGCCAAGGATCTGTACCAAAGGTGGGAAGGGAGGAAGACTCCAACAACAGCAGAGTAATGGGAGGTGGTGCTGGAGAGCTAGAGTCTGTGGCAGGAACCAGAGGGTTTTATGCACGCTGGGCATCTCATCCTTCAACTGTAAAATAATCACTATGGGTTCCTTCTTAACTTTGAGCTCATGTTGTCTGTGTCTGTTCAACCTGCTGTGTGTTCAAGTCTTTTCACTTGAGCCTCATAATGCACCTGGGGGGCAAGCCAGATACTAATACTTAAACACGCAAAGAAAGAGAAAATCTGGGAAGACTAATCTGACTGGTGCCCTGCGCAGACAAGGGGGGAAAAGGGAAACCGTGGACAAAGTTAACTTAATGGGCCTAGTGGAATTAGGGTGAGCAGAATTTGGCAAATAGTTAGGAAGTGACAGGTCTAAGAGGAATCAAAGCTAATTACACAGAATTGTAGTGAGTCAGGAAATCAATGGTGTTGTGGATGATAAAGGGGGCAATTGGCAAGTTTAGACAAGATTAGCTGCAGGCAAAACTGAATGCTATATCTAGAAAGAAACCATTCTGGAAAAGTGCCTTTGGCGGCCAGTTGACATTCACATAGAGGTAGAGATGGAATGATGAGACAGAATCTCCAAGGGAGGGTACTTTGAGGACAAAAGCAAGTTCTAAGGATTAAATCCACAAAATTCTACACATTTAGCACATGTGCAAGATGATGAAAGGATATCAAAGTTAACAGTCCAAGGAAAGAAAAGGGAAAGGAATACTCAGCTAGAAAGAAAGGTAAGCACAGCATCTCTGAAATTGTTGGACATTGTAGCTTGTGGGCAAACCAGGGGCTGCTGGGAAGTTTGTTAATTGAAAGTTGAGAGTTTGGGGGTGTTTGCAGTAGCCTCAGGTTTAAGAAGGAGCAAGATTTAAGTGGCATGAGAACAAAAGGAAAGATCTTGTCTGATTCCTATAGCACTCCGATTCTTCCCCTGGAGGCAGAAGCAGTGTGTGAGCAATAGCTAGGGCCAGAGGTCAACTGTAGTCAGACTAATCATGTTCTGTATTAGTGACAGCTACATCTGTCAGTGCACAGAGGCTTGACCAGAGGTGAAACAGGCAAAAGCTACCACTGGAGGAGTCAATCCCTGAGTCTTTGCTGTTTTGTCATCTCTAACCCCTGGATGTTGTATATGGTCCTACAGAACCAAACTCAAATTTGGCACCACAGAAAAATAACTTTTATAGAACAAAAGAAGTACAAGAATAGGTTTGTTATAAATTGAGGGTACAGTAGGGTACAGTCGGTCCCTCTCCAACAAATAGGAGAATACAGCAAGGGTCCTGCCCCGTGTAGACTAGCTTACCCTGTCCATTCCACTCTTAGTCCACCATTTCTTGAGGCTCAGGTTCCAGGCTTTACATTTTACCCTAAACTTTGGGCTTTGAAATCCAGCTGGCTTCCTTGGTGCTAGCTTGAGGGAGGATCACATGCAATGAGATGAGTTGTTCCAATTGTTAGGTAGTCACTGCAGGACACAGGGATCTCCAAACTCTTTGGTGGAGGTAGATTCATTCCCTGTTGAAGCATCTGCTATTTCTTCCCTCAGATGGTTTAGAAGGTCTCTGCTCTCACTGGGGGGCAAGTTACTCAGGAAGTACTGAGGGGCCAATTCTACCAGCCTGACAGAGAGAGTCACAGTTAAGTGATTTCTGTAACTTGCTTATAAAGCAGACTCTTAAACTTCTTACTACCCTTTCCACAAACCCTCTTTCCTCAAACCCTATGTTGCCACAAACCACTAAATTCCCTCCTCTTTTTCAGGCTCTCTAATGCCCCAGTCATAATTTTGACCCTGGGAATAGGAATGGGCAGTGTAGTGGGTATTTGAGGGAACTCACATCTGTGGTTGAATCTCAGAAACAATGGAAAGGCAGTTGTCTTTGGAAATGGAGAAATTGTGGTAAAGCACCCACTGCGGGGGTCTGGCTGGAGCCCTACGGTTTCGGTAGCAGCAGTATGGAGAGAGCTGGGCCACGTGCTTATGGGTCAGGAGCAGGTAATTTCCAGTTCCATCTGTGTCTTGGGCCACCTCATTGAAAGGCAAAAATATTTTATAAGCAAGAGAGGCAAATAATAGAAAGAAAGAAAAGGGAACTAAGAGAATTAGTAAGGGTGGAAAGAGTATTAAAATAATTGTGTCTAAGTGTAATAGTCCCTTACCATACTATATGGCACTTTCCATACCCCTGTACCCCAAAACCTCAAAGGAAAGTTTCTCCTGGTTCTAAAGAATGCTGTAGAATGGCGACCTGGACTCGTTTCATAGGCAGCATACCAATTTTTGGTCCCTTTGCCTCCTGCACCTTTGTGACCCTCGCCCCAACTCTTTCCCCTAACCTTAAGGAAGTATCCAGACACCAGTGCTTTCTGAAGGTCTCTTCGATTCTGCTCAGAACCAAAGGCTGGTTGGGACAAGGGAAGTTCAATTCGTTGCATGAGTTCTAGGAGTTCTCCTCGAAGTTTCTGGGCTTGGCACAGTGCTGCCCAGTTTAGACCCCGAGCCTGGCACCAAGCCTTGTCTGTTCCACCTAGGAGGTGAAAGGACACAGCTGCAATTAAAGTCCTCGAGGCTCTGAAAGAACACAACCCTTGACTAAAGGGCCTCTGAGTAGAGGGGCAAATGTGAGGTTGTCTAAAAGATGCAGAGTGTGCCACTCACTCTGTATAAAGGCTTCGTACACCTGGATCAGAGAGCTATGATCACCATCCGCATGTTCCAGGGCCCGACGCAAGGCAGCTTCTTCTGCACAGAGAGGAGGATGGGTATACCCAGGGGCAGCTGGAGGCAGAAGAGAGGAAGGTCATTGTGGGGAATGAGAAAGGATACTATACAGATGGAACACAGGAATGGTACAAGTGTCATTTTGGGAAATGCCTCCAAAAGACACAGATAACTTTTCAATGCTATGCTCTTGGTTAGATATTGAAGAAAAAGTGATAAAAGACAGTTTGCCCTCAAGAAGCCCAGAGTCTGGCAGGAGAGACCAACAAGTAAGCACACGTGGTAAGCACGAATGGTATGGGAGCCAATATGTGAGGTTTGAGTAAAATTAGCGCAGTGGAGAAGGGGAAGAAAGAGTATTCTAGCCTGGGTATGGCATGGAACAGAAGTTAGTAGCATGGCGTGTTTGGAGAACTTCAAGTGCCCAGTAAGAGTGGAGAAGATGGCAGAGTAGCAGAGTGTCAAAGTGGAAGGACATAATGCCTGAGAGGTAGGTGTGAGCTAGGTCCTGAAAGGCTGGGTGTACTGTGCCATGTAAAATGAGTTTACATTCTGTTTGGGAGGTGAAGAAAAGCTATTGGAGAAGAGCTTTTCAGTAAAAGTCCATATGTTTGAGGAAGCACACATGATTAGTTAGGAGGCTACTGAAGGAGTCCAGCTAAGCAGTGATGGGGCTGTAAGATGGGCACCTCAGTGAGTATGGAGAAGAGATGAATTTTAAAATAATAAGATAGGGCCTCCCTGGTGGTGCAGGGGGTTAAGCACCGCACTGTGAAGCAGCCCGCAGCCTCTGCAGCATGAGTTCGATCCCAGGCTGGCCAGGGAGAAACCCACATGGCACGGCAGACCTCTCCTGACTTGCCCACTGCTCCCCTCAGCAGTGATTTTCAGTCAGTCAGCCTGTTCTGCTCCCCACTCTGTCTCTGGTGAATCCTCTCACCATCCCGCACCTCTAGCCTGTACCCCAGTTCTTGTGTGCATAAATAAGTAAATCTCTTAAAAATAAATAAAAATACTGGAAGATAAAAATCAAAGAACCTGGAGGAAGACTAGCTTAGAATGATGGTAGTGGAGCTACAGAGATGATGATATGATCGGGTGATTGTGGTGAGGTGGCAGTTTCAGACAATGCTTACTTGAAGTACTGAGTACCATCTGGTAGAAATGTCTATCAGGAGTCAGATATATAAATCAAAGATTCAGAAGAATGGTATTGTCAGGGAAACGTAAGTTTTGAAAACTTTAAGTGTAAAGAAGACCCCTTAGATCACAGAGTGAATGAACTTGCTCAGAGAGTTCAGGGAATGAGAAGGGAGGCAATGATACAACCCCAAGATCCAACTTATAATGCTCAAGTGCAGAGGATTAAGAGATGATTGAAGGAATGGTCAGAAAGGAAGGATGAAAACCAGGAGCAGCATTGACAGAGGCTTAGGGAGTTTCAAGGTGGGCATGGTCAGCATTCTCAAGTGTCAAAAGAAGTGTCCTTGGACTAAGGCTCGGGGAGGTCACTGGTGAGCTGAAAGCTTCAGTGTTGTGGTGGGCCTGAAGCCAAATGTACTGAGCGAGGATGACATGGAGAGAACAGTGTAGCACTTACTCTGTAGAGCTACAGGGTTGAGGAAGAGAGGAGTGGAGCTTCAGTACTAACAGATTTGAGCATTGTGAGGGGCAATAACCAGCAGTCTAAAGAGAAAGGAGAGTGATAAATGATTAAGCCTGGTTCCTTGGGTACTTTGAGGGGTGGAAACTGGAGCACAGGGGAAAGGCTAGCCTTAGGAGTACCAAACACCAAGGGGGAAGGACTGCAGTGGCCATAAGAACCAGATCCAGAAGCGATGTATACCAGTGAGCATGGCGGCGAGGGTGAGCATCTCATCCACACACTCAAACTCGCAGGAGGCCAGCAGGGCTTTTGCCAGCTCAGGGGGCAGGGGAAACTCTGAAAGGATGATTCCCAGGTCTGACAGGTCCCCATCATCATCCAGGGCTGCCAGATAGTCTAAGTCTTCCAGGGCCTGCATCAGGGCTTCTGGAGCTGGGGAGGAAATAGGACTCACAGGGCAGGGGTCTGAGAGACTAGTAGTCAGACAGCGAGTCTTGGGCTTAAGGGGTGCTCACCTGGCCGATCCAGGAAGTGACAGTCCCCTGGCTCTGCAATCTGTTTCCTCTTGAGCAGTAATACCAGGGGGCTCAGATTCTCCTCACACACCCTGGGTTGGGGTAGTAGAGGAGCCACTTCTAGGAAGGACTTAGGATATAAGCAGAGGCAGGATCCTGAGGGGAGAAAGACCGGGCAAAGGGCCACTAGAGATTTTTCAGGACTTGGGTGTTGATGACTCTTTGTGTTTGATCTTAGCGAGGGCAAAGACTCTTACCTGGTGGGAACCCTCTTGCCCGAAGTTGTCTTGCCTTTGCCTGGCACTTGCTGATTGGCCTCAACACTTGGGATTCTGCTCGGATCTGAGGATTGTAAACCTGGCACCATACCCCAATGAAGGCCAAGACAGATCAGCGTGGGCCATTTATATCTTTAGTCCCACATCCCCTCATCTCTCTCACTCACATTTCGAAGCTCCAGTCCTGAGTCAATGACATGTTGGATGGAAGGGAGCGAGAAGGAGAAGTCAGCCAGCCAGTGAGTGACTACCACCTTTTGGGCACCCGAGTCTGTGTCCTCGTATACAGCCTGAATAGCTTGACCAACGCCTGAGTGGAGGGGTAGCACCCGTGGAGGGGGCCTTTGGAGAGCCAAGGAACCCACCTCTCTGGACAAGGATTCACAGCACAAGGAAATTTCCTGAGGAGAGGGGTGGGGTGTTAGGGCACCTTTTGGGGTCACATACCCCTTTGAAAAACATGTAAGCTATGGCCCTTCAATCTGAAAAAAATGCATAAAGTTGGGAATTTTTAGGAATTCACTGAATCACATCTCTGCATTAGATGGAATCAAAAGAGGGTGGTGGTAGACTTATTCTGAAATCCATGAGTTTTCCTGTAGGGCCCAAACAGTGAATACTATAGCTCCCATGTTCCTAACACCCACTGTTCCCATTCCCCCACAACAGGAAGTTGGCATACATGAGTACCTCCTTTTGCAGTTGTGTTTTTTTTTACCTCCTCACTGGGTAGGTACACTAGCACGTCTCCTGGAGTCTCCTTCTGACACAATTCAAGCACAGCTTGGCAGACAGCTTCCACACGATCCGTAGGGACAATGTCCCTATAGATGGGGATGGGACAACTGCCAAGTTCTCCAGATACATGCACAACGGGAGGATTTCCCCAGAAGGCTTGGAGCTTAGGCTCAAGGGCTGGATCAGTAACCACAACCACTCTGAGGTCCCCGGGAAGGTTTCCCAGCCTGGCATCACACAGCAGCCCCTGAAGCACATCTGTGGCCACTGACCGCTCCTGAGCCTCATCCAGCACCAGCACACCCCAGGCTCCAGTGTCCCGGGTTGAGGCCACCTCCTGCAGAAGAAGTTTGTCCCAGCAGAACCTATTGACATTGGCAGTGGGCAGAGGATTTAGTGTGAACACTGATCAGCTCCAGAAGTTCAGGGGATTTTTCTCCCCTGGGTGCCTAGATTTTGATAGTGAATGTCAGAAAAAACCTCTTGTGATTGACCTCTTAAGCATGGAACCCAGAACTGTGACCCACAGCTCCACTGTTTACACTTTGTTCACAAGCCGTACTTTAGCTGGGAAAGTAAACTTTCATGGTGAGAGTGAGGGTGAATGTTTGTGGTCTCTGGCTGAAATTAAAGAGCTTAATTTAGGACCTCCCTCATGGTGCAAGGGAGCACCACACTATGAAGCAATTCATAACCTCTGCAGCATGAGTTCGATCCCCGGCCGGCCAGGGAGCAGTCCACATGGCACAGCAGACCTCTCCTGACCCGCCTGCTGCTTCCCTCAGCAGTGTACTTCAATCTGCCTGTTCTGTTCCCCACTCTGTCTCTGGTGAATCCTCTCACCCCCCACATCTCTGGCCTGTACCCCAGCTCTTGTATGCATAAATAAAACTTAAAAAAAAAAAAGAGCTTAATTCAGCAGTTGTATCATGTACAGTTTAAAACTTGAGACGGATTGAGGATTTGGTGAGATGTTAGAGGACTGGGCTTGTTGCCACCGGGTGAGGGGGATTCAATTTGGGTCAGGCCTGACGGAGGCCTCACCTGAGCAGGGTATCGGGCCCGGTGCAATCCTCCTGAGGGATACTGTATCCAACTTCATGACCCAGAGCCAGGTCCATCTCATCAGCAACACGCAGAGCCAGGCTTAGAGCTGCCAGAGGATGGGGCTGAGTGACAGTTACTCGGCCCTTCTGGAACCCCCTGGCCAGCGCAAATTCTGCACACCACTGAGGGATCTGGGATGGGGCAGGGAAGAATAACCAGTCAGCAGGACCCAGGGCTTTATCAGAAATGCTGGGGAGCTATGGCCAATTTAACCTTCCCTTGTTTGAGAAGTCCCTTCATCAGTCACCCTGGGGCCACGCTAACCTATATCCCTTTGCCCACCTCCCCTAAAGCTCCACATAGCGCAGTTCTTCCCTCACCTAGGGAAAGGCCAGTTCCCCAGACCCTCCTTTGTTCATACCCAGAATATCCCCCCACCTGAGTGCTCTTGCCAGAGCCAGGCTCTCCAGACACCAGCACTACTCCAGTGGGGCTACTCTCCAATTGCTCCAAGAAGATAAAACGAGTGGCCCAGATGGGCAAAGCTCGGCGTTGCTCAAGAAGCTCATAGTAGCGGGTAGAGAAGGGAAGCCCATCAAAGGGGTTCACAGCCAGTTCAGACTCCCCAGGGCTTACACCAGACTCTTCTGCCAGCCTGAGTAGCTGAGAGGCCATCGTGGCTCAGGCAGGACCTACAGAAGCAGGGCAGTCATTAAGGCCTTGTTTGTAACAGATACCATCTCCCCACTTCAGTGATCCCTGACCTATATGCTCAGACTACACGGACTGGGCCCATCTTTCCCAGCAAGTTTTGCCTGCCAGGAACTGGTGGAGATTTGCATCTTCAAGTAAGGGGCATCTTAAGAGGACTACTGCCTCATGGTTGGCAGTAAAAATCTTGTGACTAGCACAGGGTCCTCAAGATCAACAGGAATTATGTGAGAGCTGTACACCTATGAGAACATCCCAAGAGAAAGGATAGAATAAAAGGGGGCAGGAATCCAGATACAGGGCCCCAAGGATCCTGGATTCAAACCTGCTTGCAGTTCTGAGATGATTCAGGACAGCAGCCAGTTCCAGACGCACCCAGCTAGTCACCATCAGGCCAGTCACCAACTCTGACCCGAGTGAAGTACAAAGGTAAATTCCGGCCCAACCCTGGGGTTTGGCTCAAACACCAATCCTAAAGACTGGTTTTGGGGTGGGGCCACTTGCTCCTCCTTATTTAACTTAGGCAAGAACCTATGGAAAATAGGCTTCAGCTACTACACTGAGCATGTGTGAACTCTTATGCAGACACCATATAGTGTGTTCACTAGTGAAAGGCATCCTGGGACTTGTAGTTTTACAGCTGTTTCTTCACAAACCTGGGCCAGATACCCAAGTTAGGGTCTAGTTGCTGCTGGATCTTCAATTCAATTACATTTCCTTAATATCACGCATCTCTTGACACGAAGAGTTGATTTCCAATACTTCCATTCTGACAATTCCCCATAAACCAACCTGGAAACCTTCATAGCCCTGTTCTCCCCCAACTAAGGGAAAAGGCACTTGTTCAGGGGGCTTTTGAGACCCAGAGAAGCAACAGAGACCTTGAGTGAAAACCCTGAATTTAATGTGATAATGGGGGGAGCCCCATCCCTCCCTTTTGACCACCCACCCATCCGGCCTGTTATGAGGTGGGTGAGGGCTGCCCCCAGTCTCCGTCCTGCGGCTCTGGGTACCATCCTGTGCTCAGTCTGCCTCCTGGGCCTGCCTCTCTGTGAATCTCCTGTGGGACATAGAAGATGTGTGGGCTTTGCCATATTAGTTCCTTAATTAGCTCCCTTCTCCAAAATGCCAGTTCCTACCCTTTGTTCTCTAAGGCCCTCACCTTCTTGCGTATTCATACAGTGCCTGCTTGCGTTCCTGTAGGCTCTCCTGCCGGGCCCAAGAGGACTTGGCAAATGTTAGGGCTGTGGGCTGAGGGGTCACCGGGCCAGAGCTGGGAAACTGAGGTGATCAAATGTCAGAAGGCTTGCGAAGTCATCATCATTTAACACGCACCGAATGCCTACTTTGCAAGAGAGGCACTATGCTAGGGTCTCAGGATCAAAAAAGATATGTCAAGGATAGGGAGTATGTAGACTGAACCTAACCAATGCTGGGGTCTCACCTTGGGGGAAGAGGTTGTGGAAAGGGACTGGGTCCCCTCAGTGATATCTTCAGGCATGAAAGCTACAGCTCCCTCAAGCAGATTAGTGATGGTCAAGTCTACACAGCCAGTCCTTGCTGGGGAAAAGGGAGAAGACAGTCTTGCTTTCTACTCCCCACCTCCCCTCACCATCCACTCTGCAAGTTAACATCCTGTTTTCCTTCTCTCCATGCCCGTCTCCTTGTGAGGGTCTACTCTTTCCCATACCCAGGTCTCTCTGGATGACGCCCAGTGGCACATGGGGTAAAACCTCCTTGACTCTCTGAGCCAGAGTTGCCAGCTGCACATCAGGAGAAGGGCCAGGGGAGGGATGGAAAGACTGGGCTGCAAAAAAGAAATTCAAAATATGGTGAGTGGAGAACCAAGGAGACGCTGACCAGCACAGAATAGGAAGGAGGTCACAACAGGCTGAAAACAAAATACTTTGTGTACAAAGACCACACACCTGACTGGGGGCGCAATCTGGGATGTCTTTGTCGCTTCATGTGCTCTGCTTTGTCTGCTGGAGTGAGCCGTGTCCCTGTCTGGCCCAATTCTTTGGCCACCAGCTAGGAAGAACTGTTAGGTTGGAAGGCTCTCCAACCATACCTCTTCCCCCTCTATGTGAAGAAAGACCCCACTCCACCCTGCCCATGTACCCTACCACCTGTTGTACACGGAGGGCAAACTCCTCATTCCCCTCCCCAAGTTGGCGATGAACAGGATGGAGCCACCTGCAAAAAATAATCCAAGTGGCATTAAGGGTAGATTCTATATGTCACCTCTTTTCATAGAACAGTAGTGATAAAGGTAAAGAATTAGTAGATAATATTACCCCTGGGGTAGAACCTTGGTATTAAAAGACCTGCAAACAGACATGACAGAGGCGCTACCTTCCTGACCTCAAAGTAAGCTTCTCCCAGCCACCAAAAATGTGAAGGCAGTCAATACCTTACTTGATACACCGTGAAAGGGACGAAAAGTGACCACAGCAGTTCTGAGACCCAGGAGGCATCTGACACCGTCTGAGAGGAGGGCATGAAGAAAGGTCTGTGTATGGGCGGGGAGTAGGAGAGTCGCCCTCTAAGCCCCAGAAATTCCCTTCCAACATACACTCACCACAGAGACAAGGGGTCTCTGGACTCGAAGAGTAAGAGGTTGTACCACATCCTGGATAGAAAATGGCCAGGAACTAGAAGAGGGAAGAGAAGAGAAGATGGGATACCAGTGAGCCAGTCAACAGTCCAACCTTACTTAAACCAGAAAATTTTCAAACTGTACAAGTAGATAACCGAGATAGAAAGGTATTCAGGAGAGAGATGTAAATGTGGACAGAAAGGAAAATGAACTAAGGATGGAAGGGGTAGGGCTGAAGAAAGTTGTGAAAATGGCCCCCAAGTCTGAGCACCTACCCGGTTGGAGACCGATACCTGTGCTCACCTGAAGCGCAGGAGCCCCTCCCGGCCATTGGTGGCCTCTTCCTCAGGGAATAGCAGCAGAGGGGTGGGGGGAAGCCTCGTGGAAGCACAGAATCTCTTGAGTGACTCCACCAACTCCCCCCGCCCATCCATCTCCATGAAGCCCCGAGACCAGCACACAAAGCTGGGGGGACTATTGAGTAGAGGCTGGGAAGGGGGAAGAGAGAAAGCAAAAAGAATATTGGGAAGTGAGAAATACTAACATATGGCATAAAGAAGTGGTGTTAGGGGTAACGCTCGGTATGTCGTGGCCCCAGGGAAACCTGGACAGGCAGAGGGGAAGTCTTGTGCTGGGTCCCGAGGAGCCGCCCAAGGCTCTCTCCATTTCGCCCACCCCACCTCGGCTCTCTCCATCGTCCCCCCCTCCACCCCCCACTCACGGTGCTACAGCTGGTGAGCAGGTTGACAATGTTGTGGTCGAAAGGTGTAACGTGATTGGAAATGAGAACCCTGACGCGTTGATCTCGGAGTCCGGAGTCCTCTTGCCGGGCCACGAGCCCCAGCACCGCACACATGGTCCGCACCACGAACCTGCGGACGCAGGCAGCGGTGACTGCACGGCCTCGGCCGGGCCCAAGCGTGCCCCTCCCCGAGTCCCCGGGCCGGAACCTGCGAAGGACGCTGTCTGGGAGTGCGCAGCTGACCAGGAAGACGTGGATCCCAAGAAACAGACGCAGGACCAGGAGGCAGAACCCGACGGGAGCGTAGAGCAGCAGCGCGAGGAGCAGGAAGCCGTCACCCGGGAGCCTGCGGGCGACAGGCGGGTTGAAGCGGCGCCGAAGGCCGAGTGGGCCTCGGAGCCGGACTCCTTCCCTGGACTCTTACCTGTGCGAGTCAAAGAGCCGCTCCGGCCCCGGAGCCGGGGGAGGCTCCATCGCTGCTACTTCAGGGGTGTCCGGCCGCCGCCGGCGCCGCCGCCGCCGCCATCTTTGCGCCCCGCCGCAGTGGCTCCTGGGAAGGCGGGGTCTTGGGCATCCGCACAGGCTATCGAGACCCGAAATCCTGAGGCGCCCCGGAAGGGCTAGCTGTCCCAGTATGCCTCGCGGCCGTTGGGCCGCCTCAGAACTGCCAGGACCACAACTCCCGGCATTCGCAGGGTGGGGGCGGAGTCGGCCTCGGGAATCCTGGGTCGGGGCATGCTCTTCTGGAGGACTTCAGGTACCGGCGTGCCCCGCGTCCACTGTCGGCCGGATCGCGTCCCGGGCACCGCCTCTGTGTAGGGCGGGCGAGGAGGCTGCCGAGGCGGAGCTGATGGCTGCACTGAGGGCGGGGCGGGGTGCAGGCTGGAGCCTTCGGGGATGGCGGGTTTTTGGGGGGGTTCACTGGGGGAAGGGACCCCTGATGACCCCTGACCTCCGGGCCTTGCTGACGTCAGGAACGCCTGACCCTCGGGCCCGAGTGACTTATGGGGCCCCCAGTCCCCTAGCCCGGTTGTCTGGGGGGGTCCCTGAACCACGGACATGTCTGACGTCGGAGACTTCGGATTCCCTAGCACGGCTGACTTCGGGAACCCCAGATCCTCGGGTCCAGGAGGACTCAGGGACCTCTGGAACCCATCCGCGCGTGTGGCTGGCCGTGGCGCTGGGCGCTGGGGGGGCACTGCTGCTGTTGTTGTGGGGCGGGGGTCGGGGTTTTCCGGCCGTACTCGCCTCGGTCCTCGGCTCGCAGCCCCCGTCTCCCCGGAGCCAGTACAACTTCATCGCAGACGTAGTGGAGAAAACTGCACCTGCTGTGGTTTATATCGAGATCTTGGGCCGGTAACGGTGGAGTAGACCAGGAGGCACCGAAGCAGCGGGCTGGAGGGCGGGCGAGCAGGAGGGGTCAGAGTCTCCTCTTATCTTGTTTTCCCCTGTCCCAGGCATCCTTTCTCGGGCCGCGAAGTCCCGATTTCGAATGGCTCAGGATTCGTGGTGGCTGCCGACGGGCTCATCGTTACCAACGCCCATGTGGTGGCTGATCGGCGCCGAGTCCGTGTGAGGCTGCTTAGTGGAGACACGTATGAGGCCATGGTCACAGCTGTGGATCCCGTGGCAGACATCGCCACGCTGAGGATTCAGACTAAGGTGGGGTTCTGGGAGGCCGGGTTTGGTTGATGCTGTGAGTTTTCTTGTATCTCTGGATGACAGGACTCTTGTACTCATTTTCCTTTAGGAGCCTCTCCCCACTCTTCCCCTGGGACGCTCAGCAGATGTCCGGCAAGGGGAGTTTGTTGTTGCCATGGGAAGTCCCTTTGCACTGCAGAACACCATCACATCCGGGATAGTCAGCTCTGCTCAGCGTCCAGCCAGAGACCTCGGCCTCCCCCAAACTAATGTGGAGTACATCCAGACTGATGCAGCTATTGATGTACGTCCTGATGTGAAAAATGATATGCTAGGCTGGGGGAGGGGCTGTGTATGGGCATCAACTGAGGTAGATGGTGGATGAGCCTATACAGAGATTGGGCTGCAAAAATGTGGCCACTCATTCATGTGTTGGAATCGAGATTATTTGGAGAATGTGCCTAGATCCTGATAAATCCCTAAGGCATAGAGTCCCTGGATCTCTTCCATATTTTTTCCTCATCCTGCAGTTTGGAAACTCTGGAGGTCCCCTGGTTAACCTGGTGAGTGGGACAATCTTCTTTCCAAGAATCCTGGCCCCAGGTCAGTGTGGGATGGCATGGGTTTTTCCAAATTCAACAATGTTTGGTTAAGTATCTAAGCAGTCTGTTGTTGGCTAGCTCCCAGAATCCAACCTCCCCATTTCCCTAGTACTTGCTGCTATCCTTGTACAGGTGCTCCCCCATCTCCTTCTGTTTGTGTGGGCTAAGGGAATAGTGGGCTCTGTCCCTGCAGGATGGGGAGGTGATCGGGGTGAACACCATGAAGGTCACAGCTGGAATTTCCTTTGCCATCCCTTCTGATCGCCTTCGAGAATTTCTGCATCGCGGTGAAAAGAAGAGTGAGCCTGGCTTTAGGGGGGATGGGGTTCCTTTGTATGGTGGGAAAGTATTTATTGGGCCTTATTAAAGGGGGTCCATTGGAGAAGAGGGAGGGGAAGAAAGGAGACAGCTGGGAGGATCTCATTTGTCCCTCTGTTACAGATTCGTGGTTTGGAACCAGTGGGTCCCAACGCCGCTACATTGGGGTGATGATGCTGACTCTGACTCCCAGGTATGAGCTTTAGGGGTAGTGACATGTAGGGCCACAAGTGTAATGAGTGGGGAAAACTGGCACTTCTGCTGAGCTGTGTTCTCATTTCTATCAGGAGTTGCTTCAGAGGAGCTGTCCTCTTTCATCATTGTGACTTTCTCAACCCACTGCATTTTGCACACCTGCCACCAGATTGATTTCAGGCTGTTACTGCTTTGACTGCAGTCCATTAGCCTGGTGTTTAAGGGCCATTTTCCTTTTGTCTCTATTTCAGCTTTCCAGATTGTTTCAGCCAATCTGAATTCCAACCTATGGGAGTATTTCCTACCCCCGTGATTTTATTTATGCCGTTTTTGTTTTATGTAGTTAAATATCAGACCCATCCTTGTAGATGCCATCTAGCTTAAGTTCTACTTCACTCCCTTCTGAAAGTTCCTGTTGGGATTGTAGAATGACATTAGTGCTATTGATTTAACATCATGTGTCACTTGGAATTAGTTACCTTTACACCTCATTTCTTCATGGCCAGAAGGCAGAAAGGGAATTGCCTTTGTATCTGGAATATCTAACATACATCCTGTCCATACAGTCATCATGTGTTGATGAGAGATTTGAGGTGAACCCAAGATGGGAAGAGTACTCTTGGTGTGGTTAACAGGGTGCTCTGTGTCCTTTCAGCATCCTTGCTGAACTACAGCTTCGAGAACCAAGCTTTCCTGATGTTCAGCATGGCGTGCTTATCCATAAAGTCATCCTGGACTCCCCTGCACACCGGTGAGGGAAAAACTGCACTGTGAGATGGGCTGGGTACAGTGTGTATATGCCCTTGAACTGGGCTGTAGTCTACCCCTTCTTTTCTTTCTGTTCATCTTTCACCATAGGGCTGGTCTTCGGCCAGGTGATGTGATCTTGGCCATTGGGGAGCAGTTGGTACAAAATGCTGAAGATATTTATGAGGCCGTTCGAACTCAATCCCAGCTGGCAGTGCGGATCCGGCGGGGACCAGAAACACTGACCTTATATGTGACCCCTGAGGTCACAGAATGAATGGATCAGTAAGAGTCTGAGGCTCCTGCTATAATTCCTATGTTGCTTTTCTGGCCTAGGCTCTAAGCGCACCTGGACAGAGGGTTAAATGAACCAGTTGGGGGCAGGGCCCTGCAACCACCAGCACCAACCCCTGGGCTCTGAAGAATCGCAAAGACACTTTTTATATAAAATAAAATTATACCTAGCAACATGTTATAGTCAAAAATTGGGAGTGGGGGCTGATCTTTTCCCCCACCAAAAGGCTAGAGGTAAAGCTGTATCCCACCTGCACTGAGAGGAGGATACTGGAGCTGACCATCTTGACCTCCCTATTCAAGAAAACCAGCTGCTGCTGTCGTTTTGGTGTGCTCGACTTGATGCTGGGCCTGGGAGCACAGATCTCTGCTTGGCAGTTCCATATCCATAGCACATATTTGCTTGGGCCTGCTGACATCTAGGGTTCCTTGGTAAGCTCCTGAGGTAATGGCAGCCTCAGACCCCTACTATTAGGGGCCAGTGGTGGTTTGCCGAGGAGGTGGTGGCACCTCAGACGATCTGATTGCTGGTCTGGCCAGGGTAGCGCTCGAACCTTCTGTTGGCCTCTTCGCTGAAAGCATCACCTGTAAAATGAATGGGTGATTTGGGCTGGAAAACAGACCCATTGTAGAGAAGTGTGGGTAGAATAGAGAGGCTGGGAGGTGTGGAGGTGGGCAGGAAGATGCAGAAACAACTTAGGGAGAAGAGAATGAAGGCCTGTCCTGCCCATCTCCCTATTCCACCCAGTGTTTCTAAGCTGCTTTTCCCACCAAATACCAATGTGGCAGTTGTGCACCCAGATGCGATGTCCATCATATTTGCAGTTACATTTCATTGCATTATTTGTGAAGTCACTCTCTGCTACTTCGAAATTGGGGTTGATGACCACCTGTGAGTGGGAGAAACGCAATTTAACCCAGCTGCAATTCTTAAATCCAAAGGTGTCTACAATAAACACTCCTCCCACTTGCCATCTGGAAATCCAGACCCTAGGCACCTGCAGAATATAGTTTCCTGGCTTCACATCTGTGATGTCGATCCATTGACAATCAATATCATGTCGGTAGAGATCCCAACAACCCACGGTGATGCCCTGCTCTCCAAAGTTGGCACACTCATACCTCTTGGAGACATCTGGAAGGATTGGTACATGTCAGTGTAAGGAAAGGCTGTGAGATAGATGCTGTAGTCCATGCTAGGTCCCAACTCACCTTCCTGACACTCAGTGTCTTCTAGACAGAAGCTAGCTTTGTGGCCCTCAGCCACCTTGGTGCCATTGGGGGTCAGGATATCATAGTGAGTGAAGATGTCCATACTGTGGTAATGCCTGTGGGGACAAGGGAACCCCTATTTCCTCCTGGCCCCCAGTAGTCTTGCCCCATCCCTAGTGGCTTTGCCCTTCTACTTGCTCCTCTACCCTCTCACCCATGACACTCATGCCACACCCAGGAGTGGCGCCCAGCTTTGGGCCTGAAGTCAGCTCGTCCCAGGTTGTGGATCTGGGAGGAGAATCGGAGCAGACGCCGGTGGCCATAAGGCCAGTTGGCTGAGCGGGCTGAGCTGGCTAGGCAGTTCTCCTCTGCAGCACAGTACAACATGTGGAGGGGCCGGTCCTCAATGTAGGCCGTCTCCTGCACCAATGCTGAGTGCAGCAGCAGATCTGATGCAGCTGCACCGAGGAAGGAAGGAGAGTGGTAGAAGTTACTACTGAGGAGTAAGGACAGAAGAGGGTACTTCCACCCCTTTCCCCCCCACCCCCCGCCCTGCCCTGATAGTGTGTGAGGCTGGTTTACCATGGTGAAGAAGTGCCCACCCAGATTACAGCTCCCTACTTCCCTGCAAAGGGGTGGCCTAGAGTTTCCATTCCCTGGCTTCTGTCATCCTATCCTTCACTTACTCTCAGAACAGATAACTCCAGCAGTGAAGCGGGTCTCTGTCCTCTTGCAGGTGATGTGGATGCCGTGATGAGCACATTGGTCCAGGGACAGCTCCGTCCCTGTGCAGCGCACTCCACTCATTACTACCTCTGTTATGTTTCCTGAGTCCCAATACCAGGTCTCCTGGGGACATAGGTAGGTATTCTGTAAGGTCACCCCATCCAGTCCTCCTGTGCCAAAGAACTCATTTCCATAGTCCTCTTCCTCAAACACATGCTTTGGAAGTAATAGTCTTGGCTCCCCTCCTTCCCACTCACCTGCAGGCCATGGTTTGCATAGCCCAGTCCAAGTTGCCTACAGGCCACCATAGCCTCCAGCGTCCCCCAGTCATCCCCACAGATGAGGCCCCAGCGAAGAGGCCCAGGTCCTCCTATTTGCACCTCGACTCGCCCTTCATGTCGGCTGCGGCCCCCGCTGAGTCGGATCTGTACTAACAGAATGGAAATGCTGGGGAAAGCTTTGGGGACAGGATGGTAGAAGTCTGAGCTGGTGTGTGGCTGAAGAGTGATTCAGGGGCACATAAAAGATTAGCAAGTGGTGGCATCAGGTGGGAGCTGCAGGATGGCAGGGGTCTGGGGCAGTGGGTGAGGCGATCATCAGACTGCTGCAGAACGTGAGCAGGACTGGGCAATTAAGAGATACCTGAACCAAGGTGGAAAGCACAACTGACCTTTGTCTCTACCCCAGTGTAGGGCAGGTTGCATCGAACGCCTGCATCCTGGCTATGGGAACAATCCTCAGCTGTGATGTTCTTGTGGGGGCACCTCCAGAGGGAGGGTTCTTGTCCAGAGCATCGAACTTCACTCAAGTGGATGGCACCCATACCTAGGGTCAGAGGTCAAGGATCAGGAGGTTGTGACTGGATCTCCTTCCCAAGGAATCTACCCCTCAGGAATGTATCTCTTCCTTCCCTCTCCCTCCCCCTTCCATCATCCTCACCCTGTCCCATGCGGGCACCACTAAGAGCCTCTCGAGCCGTCCCAAAGCCCAGCTCCCGACACACCACACTGGCTGCATGTAGGTCCCACTTGCGGTCACAGACTGTGCCCCATGTGCCAGCCTTCAGAACTTCCACTCGGCCCTCTCCAGGATGGGACCCACCCTTTAGACGCACTCGGGCCTATAGAGAGAGACACTGTGAACAGCACAGAGAGGACACAGTAGACCTGGGAGAGGAATCAGATTCTGGTGGGAGGGAGAGGGTGTTTTCAGGTCACTGGCCCACCCCCTACAAGGCTTCTCTGGCCTCAAAGGTCAGGACTGTGTTTGATTTGGTTAGGCTAAAGGGTTCTCCACCTGGGGTGGGCAAAGTAATAGTCACTGTCTCAACACACCTCCCCCTGCGGCTTCAACTGTTGTTGCTTCTTCTGGCCACTGGATGCTGCGTAGAGAGGGCCTGGCACACAGCTCACCACTGCAGGGGCCCCCCCAGGGCACCTGGTGGTGTCATTGGCTCGATAGAATTCCAAGGAGCAGAGGGAGAGGTGGGCTTCCGTGCCCATGCATGCCACCCCATGCAGACCAAAGGAGTGTTGCTGCCGCTGGGCCAGCAGCCTGGGGGGACAGGAGTGGGGTACAGTATGGTAAAACAATGCTCCTGCCTCTCTGCCCACAGCCCTCCTCCCATTCCATGCCTCCACCATCCCCCAGCCTTTCATGACCACTTGATCCCATTTTCTTCCTCTCTTTCTGCTACATTTCCCTCTGAAAGACAGAGGGAATGGTGAGTTTCTGAGCTGAAAGTGCAGCCTAGGTTACTCAGATGGGGGTCCTTGGGGACCTTCTGCAGCAGAAGAGCCCTGTGGGACGGATGACTAGTCTTGACTTGCCTGACAGAAACCTTGCTCCATATGGTTTCAGGCTGCTGGCCCTAATGGAGGCTGAGGCTGACGCTGCTGTGCAAAGAGAACGGGAAGCCAGCATGGCCCAGTGGAAGAGAGGGGAGGGAGGGAGTGGCTGACACAAACAGGAAGTTCGAATAGCCAGTGTGAGCAGATCCTTCTATTATACTGAGACTGAAATAGCTGAATGAGTCAGGATACAAAGGCATAAGTCAGTCCTGGGTCTAAGTGGCTTCTCAGAGGCCAGAGTATGATGGGCAGTTATGGAAAAAACAGACTAGATGGTAGACACGGGAGAGATGGACTGGCATATGCAGGAATGAAGATGTATCAATGCAAGAGAGACAAACATTAGAGGGACCTGATGACCAGAGACAGTGCATGAATATGAACACCAGAATGGTAAAGCTATCCCCAGACCTAAGCTGAGCCAATCTTGAATGTGGTAGTCCATGCTTCTGTGTTTTTGAAATATAACAGAAAGAACATTCTAGTTTCCAGAACAGGAACACGGGACTAAAATAGAGCTGGTAGAGCCTGGAAACACTGCAGAGAGATGCTTGAGAGAATGAGAATTTATTTATTGACACCAACAGAAAGAGCGATTGCAGAAAGGCTTGTGAGGAGAGGATTACATCCTTTCCAGAATAGCTGGTTTGAGCCAGAGAGGAGGGAACCAGGTGAGGCTGGTTTGGTGCGGGTTGTTGGAGTAATGTGCCCCATCATTTAATGTCAGAGGAGGGAAGCCACTGACTAGGAAGACACAGAGAAGAAGTTAGGAACAAAACAAAGCCTGAAGACTTTACAGAATACCTTTGGAAGTTCAGGGTAAGTGGATTCTGAAGTTCAAAGAGATCAGGTACTCTCCCAAAGTCCTGTTTGGCTGAAAATAAAAGTCAAAGAGGCCATGGCAAGAAAAAGACATCTCTCTCCTGTACTCCCCCCTTCCCCCATAATTAATAAAGTAAAAACTGACAGTGTGCACTTCAGTGTGGGTTCAGGGAAAGCCAGAGTGTGGCCATGTTGGGCAAAGATGACACCAAACCAAGAGGGCACAACACCACCCTCAAATTCCAAGCTCCTTTGAAGCCACAGAGGAGGGACTGGGGATTGAGGAATACCAAGGGGGACCACTGACTGATCCCTGAAGGTGCTGAAGAGCAGAGGGGACAATGGAAGGGAAGCTTTCTCTGCCTCTAAGTCACTGCTGAAGAAGTTATGAGGGAGGTTTTTCATAGGCAGATGGCCTTTGGAAGTGAGATTGATCAGAAGTGAGATTGATCATGGGATTGGAAGCTTTCTATTCCCTTGGGTTCTGAAGGAACCCAGGAGGAAAATGATGGAGCTGGCTAACTGTTACTGGGCCAGAAAGACTGGGACTGTCAATCTGAATCCACTCCTGGTAACGTTTCCAGAGAAGACCTGGAGTCTCACCTCAAAGCAGGTAGCATTTAAAAAATAGTAATCAGGTAAAGGTAGAATGGGAATACTCATTCCGTAGGCAAACTTAACTTCTCAGGGGAGAGGTAACTGTGGTGTCTGAAGGAAAAAACTGCCAGAGTATCTACTAGGATTCCCGGCGGGGGGAGAAGGGGAAGGGAATAAATAAGCCTGTGGAACAAGGGTAATCAATGGATAAACTTCAATTGAGATTTTAAAAAAAATCCTGTGATGAGCACAATTCCAGCATAAGGCCATAATTCCAACACAGAGACCAACATAAGGGCCATCCTTACTTTATGTGTTAGTGACTCATCTGGAAGGTGGTTTGTAATTGCTGCTGCCTTTACCTTTTTGGAGGCCTCTTTTGAACCCCTCCTGACCATAGCCCACTTCCCCAACTCATCACTAGATGCTCCCGCTCTTCTCCACCCAACTTCAACTATATTTACCTCTTGATTGGCCCCCTGCCCATTCGGGGTTTGGGTATGACTTTAAGTTTGGTGATTGGTCTGAAAAAAGAAGAAAGAAGTTAGTGGAGGTAGTGGTTAGATAGGTGGCCCAGAAAAGGTAGAGTGTTATTATTATTTTTTCCTATTTCTAGGAAGGACCCTTCATGCAAAGTGTGGAAGAGCCAGATTTTCCACCTACACTGCTGCAGATAACCTATAACATTTTAGGAATGCATGCTGCACAGTGATGAGAAATCTGATTATATCAATCAAGGGAGAGGAAATAAGTGTAGAGGTAAAGGGAGGAGAGAGGATGGGAATACGGGTAAATCAAGGTAGGTGAGGAGCAGGGGAAGGGGAAGAAGCACCACAGGTGGCTGAGGCTGGAGTCAGAGCTGGGGTAGGGGGAGGAGGGAAGGAAGAATAAGGACTTGGAGGCTTCTCAGCCATTCCTACAATATTCTTCCTTGTGCTCCTTGAGATCAAAGCTTGATCAACCCCATGCCTCCCCTCCCCTCCAACCTGGAACAGTCATTTCCAGTCACATCCCTAATTCATCAGCTTGGGTTCTGGGATGGATATGGATAGGCTGCCTTCCATCCATCCACCTCCTGGGGCCACAGGGGTCAAGCAGGAGGTCCCGGGGCTCTTGCCCCATTACCTTCCAAGGGACTTGGGGCGTCGGGCCGATGCTTTGGCCGCTCGCTTCCTCAACTTTCTGTGAGGGTAAGACAATAGCAGAGTCAGGATCAGTCTAAAAGCAAGTGGGAAAGACTGGTGCAGCTGGAACAAGGGCAAGATTAATGCCCCCCCCCAATCCCCCCAACAGCAAAAGGTTTTCTAGTGGGAGGATGTCCTAACAGCAGAGAATTCTAAGGCTCTACCCTTCACAGCTGTTTAGTCTCATGAGCATATCACCAGGTGGGTGAGCAGTAGTGAAGGACATGGACTTAGGCTCCACAGAAACTAGGCTAACACAGATGGAGAGTAAAGACTCATTGGCCCATAGTAGAGCTTACCTAAACCTGAGGTGAGGATTGGGAGGACAAGTGTAAGTAGAAGGATGTTAGGATTGTTAGAACCAACAGAATGACCAGGCTAGGAGAGAGAACTGTCTTGGTCTTTTATTTTATTCTTTGATGCTCTTTGGCTGCTGGCATTTTCAGGCCTGAGGCTAGGGACCAGGACCAAGGGCCCAGGTGGGATACTGAGGATGTTTAGTTGGGATGATTGGGGAGCATAGGCCAGGTTGATTAGGATGAGAGCACCCTTTCTGGCCAACTTAAATCCCATATGCTGTGGTCATTCACAAACTGAGCTCATTTCCCAATTTAAAGTTTCCGATAAGTTCTAAAAATAAATGCTAAAACCTTATTTCTTTTTAATTGGCCTAAATATTTGAGCTATTTCATTCTTCAAGAAGTTACCTTAAACATAATGTCTGAAAATAGATGTTACTCCTTTCATTCACCATGTGATTTTAAAGACTAACTCTGACCTCTCTCTCCTGTCCAACTACATATCGTTGAATGCAGGTCTTCTTTGTTCATATAAATGTATGGAATTCCCTGTTATCATGTTGGTTATCCTTCCCTTGAACAAGTTTCTACTCTGCAGTTTCTCTTGAGGAATCACATTTGGATGTAATATACTATATACAGATACACTAGGAATTTAATACATAAATTCTTAACAGGGCTGATGCTGTTTGGCATCTCCTGCCCTGGCTTCTTCCTCAGGATGTATTTTAGTGGGTCTTTTTGCCAAAATATCCAGTATGGGCAACATTCCTAACAATGAGGCTACAGTAACTCTCAGTTTCCTTCCCTAAAGCATTACTAAGAGTTTAAAACTTTTCATCTTATAGATATGTTGTGAAACTTTTCCTTCACATGTATTTTTCTCAAACATGTCTAAAATGGATGGCCCTGGCACCTTCTTTCAACAGTAATCCAGAGTTTTTACCTTGAGCTCCAATCTAGAGTAGTATTCAGAAAAATGCAGTATTTTCATGAATTTTGAAATATTTCTTTTCCTAAGTTATTTAAGGACCTTATAAGGTCCTTATGGACCTTATGGCTATGTTTTATATGGTATAGTATATTATGTTTTATATGGTATAGTATAGGCAATATTGTGGAACTGGTTCTTATTTATGTATCTTGATTTACATTATTTTATTCACAAATGTGCTTGTTTCCCCTACCATTTATTTAACAATCAGACATGGAAACCTACACCTGCACAAGCTCTTCTCATTTCAATCATCTCTCTTCTCTAAGGCCACTACCCCCAAATGTTCCTGAATTCTACCCCTATGGTCCCTTTCTCTCTTCAGTTGAGAACTTGCGCAACCTTCTCCTTCTCAGTTGAGTTTTTAAACACGTTGAAATCTCCACCCACCCTCCAATATTATTGATACATACCCTTCAGCCCACCAAACAAAATTTCAAGCATTGTCAATACTCAGTATCTCCATCTGCTCTCTTCCCATTCATTCTTTAATTAACCCCTTTCTGGTTTCCTCACCTACCACTCACAATAATGATCCAGTAGACACTTCTTGGTCTTCATCTTAATGGCCTCTTGGCAGCATCTGATGCTACTCTTCTCTCTCTCCCTCCTTGGTGCCCATAACACTACTGGCCTAATTTAATTTCCTAATTCTGGTTGTTCTTTCTTGGCCTTCTTTTCGAGTTCCTCCTTTATTTAGTCATTTAAATTTTTGGAGCTCTGTCTTAGGCATTCCTTTTTTCTCACTCTGTATTTTCTCTTTATATGTTCTCATCCAACTTAACTCTATCAACTTTGTATATTCCATTGCCCTCTTGATGTTCCTACTTAGATATCTTAAATGTAATGTAGGTCCCAAACCACATATCCTAATTTTCTAAACAAAATCTATTCCAGAAACCTGAGAGTCAACCATGACCCTTTTTTCTTCTTCGATCCTCAAAGTCATCCATGGCCAAATCTTGTTAGTGTTGTTCCCTTCAGTCCTTCTATTATGGCTCTTCTCCAAAACATTCTCAGAAATGCAGTCAAAATGACATTTTGGAGCCAGAGATCATGTCCTCTCACAGTCCTCCTTATTAAGAGTAGTTCCCCAGTACTTTTATCATAAAGACCTACATTTTTTAAAAAGATTTATTTATTTAGGCATGCAAGAACTGAGGTACAGGCCAGAGGTGTGGAGGGTGAAAGGACTCACCAGAGACAGAGTGGGGAATAGAACAGGCAGATTGACTGAAATACACTGCTGAGGGGAGCAGCAGGCGAGTCAGGAGAGGTCTGCTGTGCCATGTGGGTTGCACCCTGGCTGGGGATCGAACTCGTGTTGCAGAGGCTGCAGATAGCTTCATAGGTTGCGTCTTAAAATCTTGCGCCACAAGGGAAGCCTAAGACCTACTTCTTTAACATAGCCAATAGGTCTTCTACAACCTGGTGCCTGACCTCTCTCATCACTGCTGTATTCTCAGCACCTTGCTCAGTGCCTGGCAAATGGCAGGAGTTCAATAAATATCTGTCAAACTGAAATGAACTGGCTTTTTTAAGAGTGGCTTTTTAAATAGCACTTAAGCTCTTAGAACCTCATTTTCTTTGCCTGCAAAAGAACAGTAAAGTAAATGGCTCAATTATATGTACATCCCATTCCTCTTCTAAATTCTCAACTTTGACAGGTTCTAGGGCAGAACCAAACCAAATTTTAAAACGACAAGTACATTACATTCTGACTTTCTTATTCCCTAAATCTTATTTCCTCTAAAAGCTAGCAGATGTGTCTTCTTTTCTAAGAAAAGCAGACTTGTTTCTAACTATCTTGCCTATCCTTTATAATTATATTTTCGGTGAGAATGCTCTTGTCTGACTTGCCCTGTTAAAGATCTGTAATATATCTCCACTGAACCTTCCAGGACTCCTGTAATCTCTTTCCCTGCTAAAAATGACATCTGTAATTAATACATCTCCTTCTCCAGCCTTCATATCCCAGACTCAGTAAGAAATTCCAATATGGGCCTCCCTGGTAGCACAAGGGAGACTAAGTCCCAGACTATGAAGCTATCCGCAGCCTCTGCAGCACAAGTTCTATCCCCGGCTGGCCAGGGAGCTACCCACATGGCGCAGCAGACCTCTCCTACCTCGCCCGCTGCTTCCCTCAGCAGTGTATTTCAGTCAATCTGCCTGTTCAGCTCCCCACTCTGTCTCTGGTGAATCCTCTTACCGCCCTCCCCCCACTTCTGGCCTGTACCCCAGTTCTTGTATGCATAAATAAAATAAATCTTTAAAAAACTCACAAATTTAACAGAGCCAAAAACAAGTTCAAAAGATACACACACTTCCATCTCCACGCAAAACATGCTTCACTCACTGTCTTCCTTATCAAATGAAGCGGACTCCTACCTGGCTCAAAGAAAAGATATTGGATTGATCCTTTATTCCCCTCATGCCACACTGACTCTATAAGCAAATCTTGTCAATTCTACTTTTTACTATATGAAGAATTTGATAATTTTTCACTACTTTCACGATCACGGTCACCTTTCACTTTGTATACTTGGCTTTCAGGAACCAATAACCTTCCAGTTAACCTCCCTGCCTCCTTTTCTAAAAAATTTAAAAAATAATTGTTTTTCGGGGGGTGGGGGGCGGGAGGGGAAGGATTGGGGTCAGAATGGGGCGTTTGCAATTGTATGGGGGAATATAAAAATAAAATTTATTATTAAAAAAAAAATAATTGTTTTTCAAGGTAATGTGGCTTATAACACTACATGTGTTAGTGGGATAGGTTCATAGGTGTGAATCTCCACACAAATGTATGTTATCACCCCTCCCCACTTCCTTGATTCTACTGCCTCCCCTATTGGCTAAACAAAGTTATACTTTAAAAATGAGGCCATTGTGTCACACCTCTGCTCAAAACCTTATTTCACACAGAGTAAAAAACCAAAGTCTTAGGCCTATGTGATCTCGCTTCTTATCCTTTCCTTATCTCCTACTATAGCACATCTTTTATCATTTTCTCCCTTGTTCACTCAGTTCCAACCCCAGTGGCCTCTGAGACCATTCCAAGATGCCTTCTCCTTTCCTTGCCCACCCCCACAATCTTTTCAGTTATGATCCCTCTTGCTGGACATGCTCCTCTAGATTTCTGCATAGTTGTATACTCTCCTCCTTTAAATCTCTTTTCAAATGATACCTCTTACATCAAGCATTTAAAGCCTTTTAAAGAGGCCTTCTCTAACCACTCTCTTTCTTTTTTTTTTTTTTTTATAAATTTTATTGTTATATTCCCCATACAATTGCAGCCCCCCCATTCTGACCCCAATCCCTCCCCTCCCGCCCCCGCCCCCCTAAAAGTGTCTCTGGTTCATAGTTTTTTGTTGATTTTGATTTTCACTTTCTTATAGTTATTCATTTTCCTGGTCCCTTATTTAAGTTTTCTAGATTCCTGCTATGAGTGAGACCATCCGGTATTTTTCTTTTTCTTTTTGGCTTATTTCGCTGAGCATGATCCCTTCCAGAGCCATCCATGTTGCTGCAAATTGCATGTATTTATCTTTTTTGAATGCTGAGTAATATTCCATGGTATATATGTACCACATCTTCTTGATCCAGTCATCTATTTTTGGGCATTTGGGTTGTTTCCAAAGCTTAGCTATTGTAAACAGTGCTGCTATAAACATAGGGGTGCAGGTGTTCTTTGGAATTGATGTTTCCGTGTCCTTTGGGTAAATACCTAGGAGTGGAATTGCTGGATCATATGGAAGCTCTATGTTTAGTAGGTCCAGAAATCTCCACACAGCTCTCCACAGTGGTCTAACCACTCTCTTTCAAACTGCAATCCTACTCCCATTTCCTAGCCTCTGCTCTATTTTTATTCATTTCACTTTTTTTGGCCGTTCTTACATTTTATAACTTTACTTGTTTCCTGATTCCTCTCTAGCCCATGGGATCAAGAAATTTTGCCTGTTTTGTTCACTATTGGATGCCCAGTGTCTACAACGGTCCCTGGCTCACAGTAAGCACTGCATAAATGAATATTGTGTGAATCTTTACATCTCTGTTCATGCTATGCTCTTCACTTGGAATGCCTGCTATTTAAACCCTACTAATCTTTCAGAATCTGGTGTTTAGATTAGGAAAGGTGAAGAACAAGCAAAGAGAAAGAAATATAGCTCCAAGATAGAAAACAGTAAAGGAGCACAACATATAGCTGTTTAAAAATATTCCAAGTCTATAGAGCAGATAAAGTCTTGGGGCTCAGAGAATTCTCAGATATATTTCAGAGGCAAAGGAAATGTGAGCAAGTATGGAAAAAGATTGGAGATTAGATAATGTACTGAATTTCAAAAAGAAAAAAACACAATGTACAGGTAATTAATATTGTAGAATAAGTGATTAAATAGAAAGTTTGTGTACATTTAGAGGGAAAAAGGTAACCTTTAAAGAACTAAAAGGATATTAAAAAAATAAATAAAAGGCTATCACTAAACTAAGGCTATCACTAGCTCAGTTAAAACATCATGATTTCCTTTTTGGATAAGACTGGCTGCCTGCAGAATAGTAGAGAACACAGTATATCTGAAGTTTAGCAAAGACTAAGAAAACCTCCCACCATTTTATTATAGATAAAATAGTAAAATAGTGCTACATCATTATAGTGTTAAATTTGTTCCCTATTGGTTGAAAAAACATTTCACAACTAATGATTAAAGGCTTGATGTATGAGGAACTTTTCCTGAGAAGAGTTAGACTTTGGTTTCAAAACATTTCAACCATTTTATCGGTCACTCTGATGAACCCAGAAGGCATAACTATCATGTCTATTGAGCAGAGGAGGCTGGTAGGGACCACAGATGGAAATAATGTTAATATTCGAGATATCATTAGATCACCATGACTTATTAATGACATACCAAAACTAATTTAACAGGGTATACGCGACATAGATATAGGTTCAAACAGGCCACAGTAGCAGTATCAAGGATAATGGAAGACCTGAGCTGGTTTCAGGTGATTACAAATTCAGTACAAGCAGTGGGATGCCTCCTCAACAAAAGACGATGCAAAATCTAAGCAGGCTAATTTAGTCACCGTCAAACATTTCTACTAAACCCTGTCCCGAACCGACGATATCTGAAGTAGTGTTTTCGGTGGAAGTTTGCTTACAAGCAAGTGATCTTTCTGCAAAATTGATCTACGGAAGAGCTAAAGAAAATCAGCATTTTTAGCCTGCAAAATAGATTAGAGAGGGACTGTAAAGATTTCCAAGGCTCCCAACGTCTGTTTCTCAAAATGACCAAATCAGAACCTCCAGGGAAGCCAGATGCTGTCAGCACAGAGCCGCGCCGCTCACCAGTGGGACCGCTTGTTCTGGAGGCCGGCGCCTACGCCCGCGCCGCCGGGCAGACGGAGAGGGCCCGCGCCTCTGCCCAGGGGTATTCCCGAAAGCTCGCTCAGGAGTCCCGGGAATTGCGCGCTCACAGCCGCGCCTCCTGGGCGGCCGGGACCACGGGCGGGGCCGGCCTCCCAGCGCGGGACACACCCCGGCGCCGCCCCCGCGCCCCCCAGAACACGTGCCTCGGGGGCTGCGCCGGCGCCGTAGCCGGACCGCGGGGCGCGGGGCGTGGCTTCGCGGGGCGCGGCGGGCGCCCGGGGCCGGTCCCTCTGCCTGCCGACCGAGGGCGTCACCGCACCCAGCGCGATCCGCCGACACCCGTCCTCCGGGCGCCGTACCCCAAAGGGCCGGCGTCTCACCGGCCCCACCGCAGACCCACTCATAGGGAGCCCTCACGGTCCTTCGAGATGTCTAAGCTCCATTTCCTCAGTGGCCTCCACATTTTCCCACTATTCCAGAGCCTTGGGCTCCCCCAGCGCCCCGGGCCCTCGCAGAGACTCTCGCAACTGCATTCCTTAGTGGGAAACCCTCAGCCCCAGCCTGCTCCGTTCAGCGCCCGCATCCCTTCACCTGTAGAAGGCCGTGTTGACCCTCTTTTCGCTGGGGAAGCCCAGCATCCCGCAGACCACGTGGCTGTTGTGGGCGCTCCAGCCTTTGTCACACACTTGCGACCAGCCGTCGGGGAGTCTGACTTCAACGAGTCCTTCTGTCACGGGCAAGGGTCGCCTGCCCCGCCCAACAACAGGTCGAAGTCGCACCTCCTCCACTTGCAGGTGATGCTCTACCTGGGGATGGGACCACAAGCAGAGGAAGGAATCCCAGTAGCACCTTTCATTTGTCCTTGCCACCTTAAGGAACCTGGTTGTGTTCGCTGTCAACCCTGTAGCGGAGATGAGCCTGAGACCTGAGTGATGTGTGCCTGCCTTCGGTGGTGTGCCCGCTGGAGTGCGGGCTCTCCCCGCAGCCAGGAAAGAGAAGGCCTTGGTGTGCTCTGAGAAATGACCAAGGGTGCTGAAGACGCTGAGGGAGGAGCACGCAATTCTGCTTGGAGTATATGGGAGCATTACATAGAAGTGGTATTGAAGGTGGAGGAGAAAGAAGGGAGATGTTTCAGTAGAGCAGGTGAGGTGAGAGAGAGAGCATAGGATGCCCTGGGAGAACAAAGTCGGAGTTTAACGCCAGGTTTAATAGATTGAATGCTAGTGCTAGAACAAACCTGGACTTTACAGTATCCATCATATGCTCCAGTCCCACCCCTCAACCTCCCATCAATCCTGATTATCCCATGGGGCTTATGATCCCCTTCCTTCCAGTGTCTCTTACTACATATAACCACCCCACAGCCTTCTCTGGTGATCCTGGGTGATTGTGTGTTTGTGTGTGTGTGCACTGCAGACCTCGATGACATTGGAGTCCAAGAAGCCGGGGAGGCGCTGGTTCTTGCAGACGACCCCAGCATCCTCATCATGGGTACAGTCACTGTTTCCCCAGCCCCGGGAGGCACATTCATTTACACTCTGTTCAGTCCCACTGCAGCTCAGGTTGTCCAGCCAGATGCGGCCTGTGGAGGTGGGAGAGGAGGGGACAGACAGGCTTGGGAAAGTAGGATGAGGGAGTGATGGGGATGTTGGCCTCACATCTGGCCATGGTGATGAGGCCTCACATCTGGCCATGGTGATCTGATTTTTCTGGTAAGATAATGGGTAGGGAAGGGACAGGGGGCCCTGGAAGGGAATAGGAAGTGGGGCACAGGATGGATAGAGGTTGGTAGTGATCTGAGGATGCTCAAGAATTTGGTAGGGTGAATAAAAAAACAAGAGTCAGCACTGATCAGTCTCAACCCACTCCGTAATAGCTATACTTCATCAAGAACCTTGTGTGTTAGGCCTACACATGTGATCATTCTTAGAGCAGAGCTGCCAGAAGATATTATCACTACTTCACATAAAGAAGCTGGGTTTCAGAGACATTAAGTAACTTGCCTAAGAACACACAGCCCAACATGGGGCTTTAAGGGCTTGAACCACTTGGGAGACTTAGAAATCTAAGTTCCTTTCACTTCAGTCTCACATTCTCCTGTGCACCTGCCCTCTCTGCTGCTGTGTTGCCTCTAGTTCTTCTCCCCCTGGACCATACTGAAACGAGTATCACTGAATTCCTCTCAGAATTGGGTGGGCCCTCAAAAGTCATCTGTCCCAGCCAAAGTGCAGGAACCCTTCATGAATATACTGAAAGAATGCAGCTTCTGCTGGGACACCTACCTTTTGACCCACCAGGCTGCTGGAACCATCAAAGTCCAGAAAAATACTTGTCTATCCTGTATGTCTATCCTCACATTTTAAGACAAACATCATGTAATTGCTGTGCAAGCCTTTTTCTTTTTCTTTAAGATTTATTTATTTATGCATACAAGAACTGGAGTGAGAATGGGAGTGGGTGAGAGGATTCACCAGAGACAGAGTGGAGAACAGAACAGACAGAGCTACTGAAATACACTGCTGCAGGGAGCAGCCAGTGACGTCTGCTGTGCCATATGGGTCACCTCCCTGGCCAGTGATCGAACTTGTGCTGCAATGGCTGCAGATAGCTTCATAGTGCTGTAGCTTAACCTCTTGTGCCACCAGGGAGGACCCTGCAAACATTTTTCTTTTCATACTGAACATCCCTGATTTCTTCAGCTACTCCTCCTTGAAACTTATGTTTCACAGGCCTCCCTGGTGGCCTAGGGCTTAAGTCTCAGTGCTATCACCTCTATGACCCTGAGTTCGATCCCTGGCCTGGGATCTAGCCCACATACCAAGCTGCAGACCTCTCCTGTTTCACCTGCTGTTCCCCTTACCAGTATATTTCAGTAAATCTTCTTGTTCTGCTCCCCACTGTCTCTGGTGAATCCTCTCACCCTCCTCCCCCACACCTCTGGTCTATACCCCAGTTCTTCTATGCAAAAATAAATACATAAATAAACCTCAACAACTTATCTTCTAGTCTTTCATATCTGGGTATCTTTCCACTGAAAGTATTTCATTTTCATGGGCTAAAATGTGGCATGTACAAGTGACTTTTTTTTTCAGAAGGGTGTAGCCAATGGGAATTGAGGGATCAGCTGCAGACTATACCAGCTATTGTCTATCTATCCCACGGTGGGATCTCACAGGGCAAGGACCCCCAGGTCTGAGAATTGCTCCTAAACCCAATTGCAATTCACATTTATAATTGGCCTAGACTTTGTGCTTGCTTTCAGTCAGTTCTAGTTTGTTGCTTTTACTTCTGGCCTATTATCTGATTTTGTCAGCTGCAGTATCTGAGATCCCTTCTGGATTCAGGACATCCAGACATCATGTACCTGCTCTCAGCTCCCATGAAAGCAGCTATATTTAAATTGTACAGGGCTCACCTGTATTAGGGGTATCCTTGCACATGGCTTTGTGGAGTCCTATTTTTGTATCAGAATGCAAATTAGAAAGCATTCGATCATTTTGCACATGGGGCATCTGAGATTCAGAAAAGACATTAAGCAGCCTAAGGTCACACAGCTCTGAAGAGACTATATTGATTAGTATGTCACCTATGAGTTTGGTGTCCTGTGTCCCTGTGGCTGTGCCATTCTGATTTCCCTCTTCCTGAACACAGGCAATACTGAGGCTATGTCTGGAGAACTGCTCACCTGTTCCAGGTCCATATTTGGCACTGTGGGTCCAGCCTGTTGCCTCTGTAAAGCCCAGTTCCCGACAGAGGACATGGGCGGCCTGAAGTGTGAAGTCATCATCACATATTGTGCCCCATTCACCAGCTCGCTGTATCTCCACTCGGCCCTCAAAGGGCTTTCTGGGGAATCCAGCCAGCCTGAACCGCAGCCCCTGGCTCCCAGTCTTCTTCGCTGGGGCTGTGGATGGGGATGGAGATCCCAGACACGAGCAGCACAGCAGGCATAGCAGCAGCCCCAATGGGCTCCACTGCCAGGGATTGACAGGTCGCATGGCAGGGAAGGCCTGCCAGAGAGAGTGTGTGAGAGAAACTTAGGTTGAGTCAGGCCCAGAGTCAGAGCTCCTGAGAGGAAAAATGACAGCAAGTAAGACCAGAACAGACAGTGCAAGAGACCCATCCAGGAACTAAGAGACAGCGAGGGAGAAACACACTAAATTAAGAGCAGAAACTGAGTCAAAGGAGCACACGCTGAGAGACCCTGAGTTGGGAGAGGAGGAGAGGGGAGGGAAGAAGGGAAAGGGAAGGAGAGGGGAGGGCAGGAGAAGGGTGGAGAGAAGAGGAGAGATTGTCCTTTTTGTAAAAGGACAATTTTGTAATTGTCCCTTTTGTAAAAGATAAAACTCTGTTAGTTGTTATAGCTCATAAGGTGTTTCTTAGTTTTGTGATCATAACCTCCATCACCCCTACTCACCAGTCTAAGAGATCCAGAGATCAAAAGGCAGTGATTAGAGACCAGGAATCAAAGAGTGGTCGAGATAAATAGATAAGAAATTGAGCAAGAGACACTTACAGGGAAAGACCCAGACAGACAGGATGTGAGAGAAAGGAAAACTGTGGGGAGGAAAGAGAGCCAAACAGAAAGACAGCACAGAGAAACACAATGTCCAAGATGGAGAGAAGGTGAGGGAGAGAACCAGACACACAAAACTAAGGAGGGATGGAGACAGACAACAAAGGTGAGGAAGAGTGAGATGGACAGAAGCCAAGGAACGGATAACCCTATTCAGTCAGGCAGAAGCCGGCTTCCGACTGGGGAGAGAGGCCTAGGAGATCCTAGCATCTCAGGTCACCTCTTAATGAGAGCCAAGCCTCGTGTCCTATCTGGGCAGATTCTGAGGCAGAGAGAGCGGAGACCAGAATGCAAGGAGAAACGGTGCACACCCCAGCCAGCTCTCAGGCTGTCACAGGCCTGCAGGGTCAAGGGGCCCAGACCTCAGGCGGGGGTGGTGGTAGTGGGGGGAAGTGGGATTGTCCAAGCCTCCTGCCGACATCGCGCTGCTGTCATGGGGCAATGGGAAGGGAAGCCAGGACGCCCATTGGCCCCTCAGACAAGGCCTTCCCGCAGTCTGGGACTGAGAACAGCCCCTCTACAGTGAGGGGTTCCCCCCTCCACAAACATGCTACCCCCAAGTTTGATAAACAACCCAACAGAAAAGGTTTGTTCAGAAGACAGTTAGGCTTGGGGGCCCAGGGGTGGGGCCTCACAGAGGGGCCCCCAGGCTCTGGGCATTGCCTGCTGCCCTATTTGGAACACTCTGCCGTCCCCTCTCCCGCAGACATCTGGCTCCTCTCTCCGCGCTTTTAATATCTTACTCTTCTTTGACAATAATAAAACCGCAGCTGGTAGGCTTCCCCTCTACTCCCTCTCACATCACCCCTTTTCCCTGGTCCCTCCACCATCCTCGACATCCGCGGCTTCCCTTCCCGCCGCCAGCAGCGTGCCTCTCCCTACCTTTGGCTGAGCGGAGCCCTACAGGCTGGGAGAAAAGCCTTGGTCTTGGAGAACAGTCTCAGGACTTGCAAAAAAAAAGTGCTCGGCCAGGGGGACTGGAGTCCCCTCTCTCCCCCCTCTCTGTTCGTCCCTCCCACGTCCCCCGGAGCCCTCCCACATTCCGCCTTCTCCTTGGATTCCAGCCTGGCCAGTTCCCTCCTCCGTCAGGGCCCACCCCTCCCCCGCGGAGCTGGCCGCCGCTCCCCCTGCTCCCCGCCCCACTCCACCCCTCGCCGCCAGCCCCGCTCAAAGACGCTTTCTTTCCCGCGGCCCGGGGCCCGCGCAGCTGCGGCCAGGGAGCTGGGCCCGCAAGGAGCCCTGGGGCCGACGACCGGCCCAGGCGGTGGCCCCTTGGCGGCAGGAGGCCTTCAGCCCCCGGCCCCCAGCCCTTCCCCCTCGCCCCCGGCTCCGTGGAGTAAACAGCCCGCAGGGCCGGGGGCGGACCCCGGCGGGGAACTGAGGCCGCGAGCGCCCACGTGGCCCCTCCGGAGCCCCAGCATGCCCGTCGGCATTTTCGAAGTGATGTCACGCCCTGCACTCTGATGTCACGTCGGGTGTGTGACATCGCACGCGGCCCCCGAGCCCCGGGGCCGAAGCCACCAAGTTTCTCTTGACAGTGAGATGTGCGCGCCCCCGGGAAGTGGGCAGAGGCCTCGAGGTGATCTGGGGACCCTTCCCCTTCCTAGTCGCTCCTCTCCCTCCCGGCTCGGCGCGCGGGGGCGGGAGGCGCGCCGGGAACGCCCCCGGGGGCCCGGCCCCGCCCCCGCCCCGCCCCCGCCCCGGCCGGCCAGGAAGCGCGGAAGGAACCGCCGGGGGCCATGGACGGGGCGGTGATGGAGGGGCCTCTCTTTATACAGAGTCAGCGTTTCGGTACCAAGGTAGTCGGGGGCAGAGGTCGCCGAGCCCCATCAGGCGCGGGGGCGGGGGGGCGACAGGACCCAGAGGAGGGCGGGGGCGGGCAGCGGCTTGGGACGCGGCGCTCGGGGCTGGAGAGCTCGGTGACGTTCGCGCGAAATTGCCTTGCACCTTCCAGAGAGGGTACGCCCTCCCGGCCCTGGGGGCGCCGCGCCGCGCCGCGGCCTCTTGGAGGAAGCTTTGCCCCGCGTCGCAAGTCTTAGACGCGAAAGCCGCTGGCGCCCCCCTTGCCTGCGCGGCCGCGCCGCCGGGGCTTGCCGGCTCCCAGTCCAGCTCCCGCTCTCTCCGCAGAGATGGAGGAAGACCTGGGCGGTGCTCTACCCCGCCAGCCCGCACGGCGTGGCGCGACTCGAATTCTTTGATCACAAGGGGTCGAGCTCTGGAGCTGGCCGAGGGGGCTCGCGCCGTCTGGACTGCAAGGTGATCCGTCTGGCCGAGTGCGTGAGCGTGGCCCCGGTGGCTGTGGAGAGCCCCCCCGAGCCCGGCGCCGCGGCCTTTCGCCTGGACACCGCGCAGCGCTCGCACCTGCTGGCAGCGGACGCACCGTCCAGCACTGCCTGGGTGCAGGCTTTGTGCCGAAATGCCTTTCCGGTGAGGGGGCCGAAGCTGCGGGCTAGGGGTTGGGACGAGACGCCCTGGGCCCAAGAGGTGATGCGGGGTGGGGGCAGTTACCGCGGTAGAGGAACTGGACAGGCCCGGGTCCTGGGAGCCGCGTTGAGGGAATTACAGGGTCTGTGATACTTTCTCTTTACCTCAGAAAGGCAGCTGGGCCCCGGCGCCTGCCGACAGCCCACCCAAGCTTTCTGCCCTGGAGATGCTGGAGAACTCTCTGTATAGCCCCACTTGGGAAGGTAGATCTCTGAGAAGCCCCGAAAGGGATGGGGTGGAAAGGGTGTCCTTGGGAAAGGGGTGACTTAGAGGGTGCAGGGACCCATGGGGAAGTGGGAAGCGCCTGAGAGCTGGCTTCTAAGTGAGTGCTTGAACAGCCTGCCGCTTCAACCCTTCCCAGTCCCGTCCAGGTGCCAGACCAATTGTGTATTCTTTCCAGGATCCCAGTTCTGGGTAACCGTGCAGAGAACAGAAGCCGCTGAGCGATGCAGCCTGCATGGCTCCTATGTGCTGAGGGTGGAGGCTGAGAAACTGACTCTCCTGACTATGGGTGCCCAGAGTCAGATCCTGGAGCCCCTCCTCTCCTGGCCGTACACCCTGTTGCGTCGTTATGGCCGAGACAAGGTGTGATGATGGGGGAAAGGGTTTGTCAGGGAGGGCTGGCTTTTTGGGTCCAGCAGCTTTGAGGGGTTGGGCCAGGCCTGAAAGGTAGGGAAGCTCTCTCTGCCCTTTGAATAACCCTTCCTTGCTTCCTCATGACCTACCTTCTTCCCCAGGTAGTCTCCTTTTTGGACCTCACATAACTAGTTCAGGCCGTGTGACTCATCTTCTCTATGGCCCTGGGTAATATATTTTTCTCCACACCCTCTACAGGTCATGTTCTCTTTTGAGGCAGGCCGTCGCTGCTCCTCTGGCCCTGGGACCTTCACTTTCCAGACTGCACAGGGAAATGACATCTTTCAGGCAGTTGAGACTGCTATCCACCGGCAGAAGGCCCAAGGAAAACCTGGTCATGGGCAGGATGTTGTTCTCAGAGCTGATTCCCACGGAGAAGTGGCAGAGGGGAAGTTGGCTTCCTCTACTGGCCCCCAGGAACTCCTGGGCAGCCCTCCAGCCCTGTATGCAGAACCTTTAGACTCCCTTCGCATTCCTCCAGGCCCTTCTCAGGACTCCTTATACTCAGACCCCCTGGACAGCACTTCTACTCGGGCAAGGGAGGGGGCACAGAAACTTTTCAACTGGGACATGTATGATCACGTGCAGCAGCAGCTGCTGAACACCAAGCTGAAGGACCCCAAAGAGGACCCTATCTATGATGAACCTGAGGGCCAGGCCCCCGTTACTCTGCGGGACCTCTATGATCTGCCTCAGGAGCCCAGGGATGCTTGGTGGTGCCAGGCTCGAATGAAGGAGGAAGGCTATGAGCTCCCCTACAACCCTGCCACTGATGACTACGCTGTGCCACCCACTCGGAGCACAAAGCCCCTCCCAGCTCCCAAGCCCCAGGGTTTGGTCTTCTCTGAACGTGGCACTCCAGTGGGCAGTGGCAACAAAGGCAGTGGTTCAGACACTGCCCTGTACAGCAAGATCCAGAAGAGTGGGGCCTCAGGAAATTGGGACTGTGGGCTCACTAGAGCAGGGACTGACAGGATTGGGGTCAAATCAGAGGGTTCCACATGAGAAGCAGGGCAAGACTGGGGGCACTGATAGAAGGACCATGGGGAGCTGACATTGGAACCAGAGGGCTTGATGAGGCCTGAGTCAGGCCAGGGGACCAGAGGGATCAGAGATGTCAAGGGAAGAATGATCGAGAAGTTCTACAAGTTGGACAGATGGCAGGAGCTGAGGGATACATTTTAGGGAGGGCAACACCCCCCCCCACTTCAAAGAATGGAGAATTGTTGGACCAGGTCTGTGGAAAGGGGTGCTTGGTCAGATTAAGTATAATTAGAGGAGCCTGTCTGGAGGCTATAGGGGGATGCTGGATTGTGCCTAGATCCTTAGCCCTGCATTGTTCTTTATCAGAGATATATTAAAGTTTCTGAAAAATCCTCATTAAAGTCAGTTTGGGTTTCAGAGGTCTGTGGGTCTATGTGTATGAATAGTCACAAAGGGGACGCAGTGGCAGAGTGTGCTGGGTGGGTGGGTGTGGAGGGGATCAGAAGGAATGTGTTGGGGGCTCTGGAAGGAGGAAGGGACCCCAGGGAGGGGAGTGGAGCAGAGCAAAATGGTCATTCAGAGTCTTGGTTATCCACTCAGGCCCACCTGGGCTTGACCCTGTCTCTGTGACCCTGGGAGAGTTATATAATAATTCAGTTCCCCCTGCCCCTCTGTAAAAAAGGAGAACTTAACAGGCTCTACCTTACAGGGATGTTGAATGAAAGAAGTTAAATTTCTCAAGTATTAGTGCAACTTGAAGCACAGATTGTTTTATAAGCGGTAGTTATTCTGTGGATGGAGAGGGACTAGGGACATCCTTTCCCCCGTTCTTAGCTATAAACCCCCTCCACCCCCCCACCCCTATCTGCATAAGCCCACATGTCCTAGGGAGATACTGAGCACAAACCACTCTTCTCTTTGGAGTCTGAAGGGAACTACAGTGTGGTGGGCGTAGTGAGAAGGGTAGGGCTTTGGAATGAAGCTTGGATTTCAGTCCTGTTTGTTTTTCATGAGTTCTGAAAACCTCATCCTTGTCTCCTGAGGCCTAGTGTACCAAAGGTGACCTGGCATCATCTACCTGCTTACACAGAGCTACAGGGGGAAAATCGGTGCTGGGAAAGTGCTTAACAATGATGGAGGCTTACTGGGTGTTTAATCTTCATCTGTGTTAACAGTATCAAATGACTCAACAGAAAACAAGAGTACCTGATTGGAGAAGGGAAAGGCTCAGGTGTGTCTCTCCCTGGCCTGAGGAGTGGGGTGGTGGCAGCCCTGAGGACAGAGGAGGGGAAGGCAGTTTCCCCGTCACCTGGGACTCACAGAGGCTTAAGTGAGTGAAAGGCAAGTGTGACCACAGAAAGCCATTGTATGAACCTTAGCATGGGTGTGATTGAGGAGGCAGCTGGATTCTGGTGCTGGTGACTTAGGCCTTGAAGATCTTACGCCTGATCCTCCTCCTCCTCCTCCTCTTCCGAAGGCTGGAAGAAGGATTCCGAGGAAATTTTGCTGGCAGCTGGCCTCTTGGGGGCTCTGCTAGTGGCTAAAGTCACAGGCAGAGGGGCAACTGTGGCTCGTACTCGGTTCATCAGCAACTGCCCAGCCTGCAATGAAAGCAAACAAAGCCTTCTCTGAAGACCAGGGTGGTGATGGTGGCGTCCCCTGAGCTCCAGCCTCCAAAGTGCTGAGTATCTCTCCTCTGTTAGCTTGCCCACCAGCTAACAACATGTCATGGGCTCTGGTCACTGTGGTTGGTAAACATTCTCTTGTGACTTTAGCTAAGACAAAGTGAGAGCTTTTCTAAAGGTTCCGTGACTGAGAAACTAGGAAAGGATTAAAAAGGGCAAAGGAAGCCCAAGTATTTTAGAATATGGATCTTATAAAAATAACCCCACCTTTAGTTACTCTTCTGTTTTCAACCCTAGTCTCCAAGCTACTTACCTTGGTCAGCCTCTCTTACCTTGCACGGATGCTGTGAGGATTAAATGAGAAAAACACGTGTGAAAGCACTGTCACAAAACCTGGCAAATGACGTGTGTTCAGTAAATGCTAATTTCCCTTCCCTGGGGCCTTTCTTTTTCTAACTTCCCTTTAGCCTTTTCTTTCAAAGAGAAAGCTGTGTTGAAGTTCCAGTGCAGCCAGTTTGCTTAGTGGGACAATGGTCTATTACATGACTAACAAGGTATCATAAAAACTACAATTAAGACACCTAAACATTATCATATGTAAATGCTCAAGCGGAAAAGCCCTACCAGGTAGGGGTGTAACTTCCTTTGTCTAGGGCAAGGTCCATTCTTTTTGTTCCCTGGTTGGTCCGTTGGCCAGGTTCTCCCCTCCACTTGGGGGGATCCAGGCAGAAGGCTACTCCCTTGGAGGAGGGGAGAGTTGGGGTGAGCAGGGGAAGGCTCTCTGGGATCTGAGCATAAAGGGGAGGGAGGGAAGTAAGGAAGGACAGGTAAGGAGGGGAGCTGTACCTTTCTTGGAGCTCTGCTCTCCCAGAGCCGCCCTGGAGGCTTGACAAAGGTGCTGCTCAAGTGTGAATACAGGTGGCTCCAAACCTGCAGGGGTTGTAGGTGGGCTCTAGCTCCAGGCCATCCAGCAGGCTCTGAGGAAAAGAGAGGAGGAAACTAAATCAAAGAACTCGGAACTCTGGGTTGCAGAACACAAGTTGGGTTCATACCTGGAGGAGATATGCAGACCCAGGGTTTCACGGGAGCCGTGAAATAGATGTGTGTCCCACTGGGGGTGTCCCACTGGGGGTTCTGGCCCCCAGTCTGAATGCTAGTGAGCTATGTGTTGAAGCGGGAGCAACCCAGGGTGGCTATTGACACTGAACACTTTGACCCTCAGAAGTGTGTCACTGGGCTCTGAGAGGGGCTGGAGAGGGCTAGCAGGGGTGCACGCGGGTGTGCATGTCCATGCACACTGTGAGGGAGGCCATGCCCATGGCTTGGGGGTGCTCAGTCTCAATACACTGAGTCCTCAGCCTGTGAGGTGAGCATAACGAGAGGACACGCGAGCACAGCATTCCTAAGCAGTCAGGTTTTCCGGCCACAACATCCTGTGCCAGGAACCGTTGGCCCCAAAGTGAGACGCTGAGGGAGCCATGGCCACTCGTGCCCACCGAGAGCACAATCCCAAGCTTGTCCTCTGCACATAAGCTAACCATCCTGCAGCAACATGGCTTCAGTCCTCCCTGGTCAGAGCCCACCTCCCACCCTCAGCCTGGGAAGCTGCAGAGGAAATCTGAGAATCCAGATCCAAGAAGAGAGGAGACAGGGAGAGAAAATGACCTTAAGAGCTATTCCTTCCTTTGCATCGGAGCCTTATTCTGAACCCCTTCCTATTCCAAGCATCTCCACTGGCTACCTTTTCCTCAACCAACAGAAATAGACACAAGCGCACATGCACACACACACACACACACAATGCAGAGAAAGAGCCGTGAGAGTACACCATCATGCACACGTTTACTTCCTTTTGCTAGGTCTCAGTTCCTAGCCTTACTTTCTTCTATGTCCTCTTTTTTTTTTTTTTTTAAAGATTTATTTATTTATTTATACAAGCACTGGGTACAGTCAGAAGCGCGGGAGGGTAAGAGAATTCACCAGAGCTAGAGGGGGGAACAGAACAGGCAGACTGATGAGATACACTGCTGAGGGGAGCAGCGGGCGGCAGGAGAGGTCTGCGCGCCATGTTGGGGACCCTCACCCGGCGGCCGGGGATTGAAGCTGGGGATCGAACCGGATCGCGGCTGGGGATCGAACCGGGTCGGGGCCGGGGATCGAACCGGGTCGGGGCCGGGGATTGAACCGATGCTGCAGATGCTGCAGGCAGCTTCACAACCCAGCACTCAACCACTGCGCCACCAGGGAGGCCCTCTTCTATGTCCTCTTACCACACACTTGGAACCACTTCCCCTCACGCCCCACCAAGATGATCCTCAGTCCTTCACAGGCTTGTACCTTTCCCTCAACCCTTTCTCCATTCCATTCTCTCTTCCCTTTTTATCTGTCCCGTGAGATCTGGGCTCCACTTGCCTCCACAGTCTTAAGGCTGTCATCAGGCAGGTCCTCGGACAGCAGAGGGAAGGGGCTGGGTAGCATCAGTTCCCTTGTGGCCACTGCCTTCACCAGCAGAGTGGGAGAGCGTGATGGTGCTATCACATAGAAGGTGCTGGCAGCCTCTCTCAGGCTGTGGTCCTCGCTCAGGGGCTCCCCTTTGGCCAACAGCAACCATTCTCTTTTCTGAAAGAAGGACACATATAGATGCTCGTTCATCTTTAGTCTTAGGCATGTTTTGAAGATCAGTCCCAATTGAGGCTTCCCTGAGTTCCTCTGCGGGTTTGGGGAAGGCCTACTTGTTTCACCCTGGCCTTGGGAGGCAGGGACTTACTGCCTGAACCATCAGTGCCCCAAGGTGCTGCTCTTTCTCCCTGTTCTCCCTCTAACAAAAGGGTTAATTATGTAGAGACAAGTTAAGCGATGTCCTTGAACTCAAATAGGTGTTCACCCCAGATGGGGGGGTATATAGAAATTCATGCCTGCTACCTCGTGGAATTAGTAAGAATCTTTTGTTGTACACAGAAAAATTATGAGCTCTAGAATTTGAATCTATTGATTCTGAGACAAGATTCTGTTAAAGAGAACTGATATGCAGACACAAGTGAGGTCTCTCAAAAGTAACTCGATAGGGGCCTCCCTGGTGGCACAAGGGGTTAATTCTCAGCGCTATGAAGCTATCAGCAGACACTGCAGCACGAGTTGGATCCCAGACCAGGGAGCTAACCCACATGGTGCAGCGGACCACTCCTGTCTTGCCCACTGCTCCCCTCAGCAGTGTAAGTCAGTCAGTCTGCCTGTTCTGCTCCCCACTGTCTCTGGTGAATGCTCTCACCTTCCTGTCCCCATCCCCCCCATCCCTGCAGCTATGGCCTGCACCCCAGCTCTTGTATGCATAAATAAATAAATCTTTAAAAAAAGTAACTTGATGTACAGATTATCAGAGAACTGGGGAGAAACTGAGTTGAAAGGACTTTACAGAATGTTTTAAAATGTCTGGGCTGATTTATAGAGAGATTGGCAGAAACTTCTGGCAGGAAAAGAGACAACTGCATCCTTATTAGAGTTTGATAAAAAATATTAATTTAGCTGCAGTTTTCAAAGCATTCTGGGAAAGCAAGAGGTAGGGAAGTTGAACATTAAGGCCCATATTTTGGGCCCTGAATTTCTAACTTCTTTCTGCTTAGTATTTAATGGCAGCAGAGACTTGAAGTCCAGGATCCACAGTGAAACATGCATCGACCTGTTGGAACAGTCAGTTGTACCTGTGGTAGAAATGGTTAACTGGTATTGCAGGTCTTGGAGGCTGAGAAAAAACACTACCATGGGGATGTCTTCTGGGGTGCCTTTGGGGTCCTCAGATGCAACAATGTTTAATGACTGTAGATCA